ACCATAAAGGTAATTGTTAGGTTTTAAGCATTCTGGGAAGGTGGGGGAGATGCAGCATTTTTTAATGATTTGGATTTTAGCAGGGCTATTGATATAAGTGGACTTCAGGGTGAATCCAGAGAAGCATACTATGAATTGCAGCTGAATCATTTTGTTGGGGAAGACAACCCTTGAATTACAATGTCCACTCTGCTACAATAAATCCATTAGGAAGTAAATCTGCAAGGATTTAAATGCTCATAAGAATACGGTATTTGTGCTATTTTGGCTGATTATTTACTGGCATGTTTATGTTTTAATTCATTTGTTTCTTGTCTAAACCGGATGCTTTCCAATGCTTCCATGTGCACGATTTAAAGCATATCTACCAATCGCATATTTTCCTGGTATTTGTCTGGCTCTGGACTGACTCTACCATTTAATAGCATGGGCACTTTTGGGAGAAAACCTTAGAATCCTATAGTTGGAAGAGACCTCATGAGCCACCCAGTCCAACCTCTGCCAAGAAGCAGGAAAATCATATTCAAAGAACCCCTGACAGATGGCCATCCAGCTTTTGCTTAAAGCCTCCAAAGAAGGAGCCTCCCTTGGGAGGCAGCAAGAAGTTGTGACTTGGCCATCTGTTGGGGGTGCTTTGATTGTGCTTTTCCTGCATGGCAGGAGGTTGGATTAGATGGCCCATGTGATCTCTTCCAATTCTGTGATTCTAACTGCTGGAGGATAGAGCTGTGTAACCCATACCACCCATTCCCCCTGTTCACCATTCTAGTCTAGTCTAGTCTGGGGAGAGCGTATATGAGCTCCCTCTGTCAGCTCCTGCTCCCCATGCAGGGACATGAGAGAAACCTCCCACAAGGATGGTAAAACATCAAACATTTGGGCATCCCCTGGGCAACATCCTTGCAGACGTCCAATTCTCTCACACCACAAGCAACTTGCAGTTTCTCAAGTCGCTCCTGACACACACACAAACCAGTCTAGACAATAAAATGCCAATAAATACAGCAAAAAAAATTATATTTATCTCCTCTGCAGGAGACTCAAGGTGGCTTAACATAAAAGCATCAGCATACAATTTCAAATATACAAATATGCAAACATGAAAACAGAATTAAGTTACAAACCAATGAAACAATCAGGTCACCCTCTTGTTCTTCACCCCAGGCATCCCAAGAGCTGCTCTCCATGATCTTAGGCTCCTCTGTAATTCGGATGCGTCAGGATATGAACTTAGACTCCTTGGCATGAAAAGTATCCATACGTTTTCTCTGAGCAATGCTTCCTCTCTGACAATGTCCAGTGCTGACTTTGTCCCTCCATCCAGCACCCCTCCCTCACCACTGTGTGTTTTCCTCCCCAGATGGCAGTGGAGGTGAAAGCCATCATGGCCTGGATGGATAAGATCCCATTTGTGCTCGGAGCCAACTTCCATGGTGGGGAAAAATTTGTTTCATATCCCTTTGACATGGATCGTCCTACCAGCGAAAATGAAGTGGCTCCTCCTCCTCCACCACCACAGGATGACTATGAAGAGGAAACCCCGGGGAAAAAAGAGACCCCAGACCACGCTATCTTCCGCTGGCTGGCCATTTCCTATGCCTCAGCTCATCTCACGATGACCGAAACCTTCCGAGGAGGATGCCACTATCAGGATATGACCGATGGAATGGGGATTGTCAATGGTGCCAAATGGCATCCCCGAGTGGGCAGTAAGTCTTGAGCAGAGAGGTCTATGCATGAGCCCAGTGTGTTACACAGGAATAACTGGAAAGGACAGGCGCCCCCGGTGGCACAATGGGTTAAACACATGTGCTGGCAGGACTGCCAGCAGTTTGAATATGGAGAGAGCAGGTTGAGCTCCCTCTGTCAGCTCCAGCTCCCTATAAGGGGACATGAGAGAAGTCTCCCACAAGGAAACATCAAACTTCCAGGCGTCCCCTGGGCAACGTCCTTGCAGACGGCTTATTCTCTCACACCACTTCACTTCACTTCACTTTATTTCTTAATTAGTTGTTCTCCACCAAGGTGCTCCGAGCGACTTACAATCTAAAATAGCATTTACACAACATAAAAACATTCAACATAAAAACATTCAACAGTGACTATTTGGCAAATTAGATCTGATTACTTAAATGCACAACCAAACAGCCAAGTCTTGAGTGCCTTCAAAAAAGGTCGCAACTCCGACATTGCTCTAATGTATGGAGGCAATGAGTTCCACAGAATTGGAGCATAGGTCGAAAAAGCTCTACGCCTTATAGCTTCCAGGTGTACCTCCCTAGGACCCGGTATATATAAGAGATTTTCCTGGATGGATCGAAGTGACCACTGATGGGGAAAAGGAATGAGGCGGTCCCTAAGATATAAAGGTCCTTGGCCATTTTGAGCTCTAAATGTCAGGATCAAGATCTTGTAAGAGATCCAATGTTCTATTGGTAGCCAGAAGCGACTTGCGTTTCTCAAGTCGCTCCTGATACAAAAAAAAAACTGCTCTAGCAGGCATGAGCAAACTTGGTCCCTCCCTCCAGGTGTTTTGGACTTCAACTCCCACCATTCCTGACCACCTCAGGTGCCTTCCTTTTCCTTTTGCTGCCACAATGTCATGTGGCAGCAAAAAAAAAAAGCCAATGGGATTTTGGCCTGCATCAATAGGAGTCTAGTGTCTAGATCCAGGGAAGTTATGCTACCCTGCCTTGGTTAGACCACACCTGGAATATTGTGTCCCATTCTGGGCACCATGATTGAAGAGAGAAGGATGCTCGAGACATCCTTCTGAAAGTGCCAGGGCCAAAGCGAGACAGAGCCTGGGAAAGCCTTTCTTTCCTGCGGAGAGGCTTACCTTCTTCCCGGTGTCCCGTGGGCAACGTCCTTGCAGGCGGCCAATTATCTCACATCTGAAGTGACTTGCAGTTTCTCAAGTCGCTCCTGACATGGGAAAAAAACCCAGAGAGGATAAGAAATGTGCAGTACTTAGATTTTTGTTCTTGTTTCTGCCAGACATTTTTATTATCTCACTCATTTCATTTGTCTTCCATTTCATTTGTGTCTAAAGTGTGGGAGGATATTGTGAGAGTAGAGTGGAGATGTCCAACTGAATGATTCCCAGACCTATTCTACATTTAAGCATAACAAAAATATCTCCTGAGAGGAGATATGATAGCCATGTATAAATATGTGAGAGGAAGCCACAGGGAGGAGGGAGCAAGCTTGTTTTCTGCTTCCTTGGAGAGAGGAGATTCCATCTGAACACGAGGAAGAACTTCCTGACTGTGAGAGCTGTTCAGCAGTGGAACTCTCTGCCCCGGAGTGTGATGGAGGCTCCTTCTTTGGAAGCTTTTAAACAGAGGCTGGATGGCCATCTGTCAGGGCTGATTTGAATGCAATATTCCTGCTTCTTGGCAGAATGGGGTTGGACTGGATGGCCCATGAGGTCTCTTCCAACTCTTTGATTCTATGATTCTATGATCCTGTTTGTAAAAAAATAGTTTTCTCAGGTACACCAACTCCCCTGCAACAGGAGTGGGCAGAAGGTAGATTGGGATTTACGTTCAAAGCTGTCTCTATTAGTGGCCATCCAACACACCATGATGAAGAACATGCCATAAAATAAAGAAAGATGATCTTTTCTTTGTGCTGCTCTTCCAGGCATGAACGATTTCAGCTACCTTCACACCAACTGCCTGGAGCTTTCCATCTATCCAGGGTGTGACAAGTTTCCTCATGAAAGTGAATTACCGCAGGAGTGGGAAAACAACAAGGAATCTTTATTGACATTCATGGAGCAGGTAATAATAATAATAATAATAATAATAATAATAATAATAATAATAATAATAATAATTTATTTATTTATACCCCGCCACCATCTCCCCAAAGTGGACTCGGGGCGGCTAACATGAGGCCAAAGATACAACACAACAAAATAAAATACAGAATGCAGACAACAAAAATTACATCAAAATAAAATACGTACAGTAACAAAATAGGATAAATAAAACAAATTACCATAATATAAAATAGAACAGAATGGGGAGGGCAAATGGAAGAGGTAAAATGATAAAACTCTGGATGAAGTAGGGAAGAAAATACGTAATTGAGGGGAACCCAAAAAGAATAAACAGTGGGGTAGGCTTTCAGTTCAGGATGGGGGAAAGTGCATCATAGGGGCAATACTATAGGTGGACCAAACAGAAATGGGATAAATGTGCACTCTCCAAAGGCACATCAGAAGAGCCAAGTAAGGAATTGTGTGTGGTTGGACCAGGGGATGGATGGTGAGGCAGTTGGCTTGTCCAAAAAAGACACTTACTTCCTATTCTGTGAACACATCAGCAGACAGTTGGATCGCTGTACAGGGTGGTGGTACAGTTCAGTTGGATGGCATGCACAACTTGGTCCAAGAGATCTAGGAAGTCTTGAAGGAACAGACAGCTAATTGCGCCCCCTCCTATTGCTCTTCCCTGAGGCCATGACGTCACACTATGTAATGGTGGCACAGTGGGTTAAACCCTTGTGCCAGCAGGATTGAAGACCGACAGGTTGCAGGTTCGAATCCAGGGAGAGCGTGGATGAGCTCCCTCTGTCAGCTCCAGCTCCCCATGCGGGGACAGGAGAGAATCATCCCACAAGGATGGTAAAACATCAAAACATCTGTGTGTCCCCTAGGCAACATCCTTGCAAACAGCCAATTCTCTCACACCAGAAGTGACTTGCAGTTTCTCAAGTGACTTCTGACACGAAAAAAAATGTAATGGTAAGACCACTTCTGGTGGGCAGGGCTAAGGATTCTTCACTCTTCTAGGTGTCACTCCATTGGCTAGGTCTGTTGGGAACTGGAACTAAACCTTTATGCTCAAGCCCCTTTTAAGCAAAGCTAAGCAAATACGGGGAGCAACTTGAGCAGGACAGCCCAAGAACAACACAATTAAATGCCAGGTTTAAACAGGGAGGAGGGGTACTTTCAGGGTCGACTTAGACATATTTACCACAATGGCATATGTACAAGAGGGAGTATTAGCACACTACTGACCTAATTTCCAAGAGCATGTATGCCAGCTGGCACCACCTAAGTCTCTTGCACATTAAGGGCATCACATGAGTCTGTGCAAGTGGGGCTTCCAGCCATGTGGAACAGATTGGCATCCCATTGGTGACATATGTAGGCATAAATATCCAGCTGGTGGCAAAATAAACACATTTATGCATGTGGGACTCTTGCCCATGCAATAGTGCACTGAAGACCTCAGAATAGTGTGCAAATGTGCATTGCTTTTGTATTTCCACAATGCGTTGTCAGTTGTGGATTTCATTAAGGCCTTCGACAAGGTCCCCCATGACCTTCTGGCAAACAAACTAGTCCAATGTGGGCTAGGCAAAACTAAGGTTAGGTGGATCTGTAATTGGTTAAATGGATAAACCCAGAGAGTGATTCTCCCCAATGCTTCCTCTTCATCCTGGAAGGAAGTGACAAGTGGAGTGCCGCAGGGTTCCGTCCTGGGCCCGGTCCTGTTCAACATCTTTATTAATGAATTAGATGAAGGACTAGAAGGCATGATCATCAAGTTTGCAGACGACACCAAATTGGGAGGGATAGGCAATACTCCAGAAGACAGGAGCAGGATTCAAAACGATCTTGACAGATGAGAGAGATGGGTCAAAACTAACAAAATGAAGTTCAACAGGGACAAATGCAAGATACTCCACTTAAGCAGAAAAAACAAAATGCAAAGATACAGAATGGGGGACGCGTGGCTCGAGAGCAATACGTGTGAAAAAGATCTTGGAGTTCTCGTGGACAACAAGTTAAACATGAGCCAACAATGTCATGTGGCAGCAAAAAAAAGCCAATGGGATTTTGGCCTGCATCAATAGGAGTCTAGTGTCTAGATCCAGGGAAGTCATGCTACCCTGCCTTGATTAGACCACACCTGGAATATTGTGTCCCATTCTGGGCAACTGAAGAGAGATATTGACAAGCTGGAATGTGTTCAGAGGAGGGTGACTCAAATGATCAAGGGTCTGGACAACAAGCCCTATGAGGAGCGGCTTAAAGAGCTGGGCATGTTTAAATATGTGAGAGGAAGCCACGGGGAGGAGGGAGCAAGCTTGTTTTCTGCTTCCTTGGAGACCAGGATGCAGAACAATGGCTTCAAACTACAAGAAAGAAGATTCCATCTGAACATTAGGAAGAACTTCCTGACTGTGAGAGGTGTTCAGCAGTGGAACTCTCTGCCTCGGTGTGTGGTGGAGGCTCCTTCTTTGGGGGATTTTAAACAGAGGCTGGATGGCCATCTGTCAGGGTGCTTTGAATGCAATTTTCCTGCTTCTTGGCAGGGGGTTGGACTGGATGGCCCATGAGGTCTCTTCCAACTCTATGATTCTATTGACTCATTGTTCTGATACAGGAGTTCTGTAATGTCCCTTTCCTGGCAGACACTCATGCAATGCTGAAGCAAGGTAGGATTTCAGCTGTGGGCAACCTCTTATGAGCAGGTTAATGGTGATGAGAATTCAGGATTTAAATGTTTGTGAGTTCTTCCTAATAGATAATTCTGGACACTATAGTTATAAAAAGGTAAAAAACAAACAAACCCAAGCTCTGTTTTAGAAGTCATATTATAGCCAAATGAATCCAAAAGATCCAGGTGCGACAGAAGTGACTTAAATTCAATGGTATCAATTTCTTGCAGATACATCGGGGCATTAAGGGTGTTGTGACAGACCAGGAGGGTGACGCCATTGCAAATGCCTCCATCTCTGTTGTGGGGGTCAACCATGATGTGAAAACAGGTATGTCTGTAATACTGAGAGTGGAGGGACTTGCATTTATGTTGTTTAGAAAATTAACATGTCTTTCAATTGCAAATCACTCTTTCTTTGGATATGCAGGTATTTGGCAATGCCAGAAGAGAAGTAATGGGGGAGGGGGGGGGCTGGATTTATTGTATATAGTTTAGGGTAGGGATATTCGGGTCCTCCAGGTTTTTGAATCTGAAATCCAGATTCAATTTGCAGAAGCAGAGGCTGGATGGCCATCTGTGGGGGTGCTTTGAATGCGATTTTTTTGCTTCTTGGCAGGGGGTTGGACTAGATGGCCAGTGGGGTTTCTTCCAACTATGATTCTAAGCTGCAGTGCTGCTGATAAGATAGGAAATGTGTCTCCAGCCATGGTGAGAAACCAAATGATAATTGGAACGGCTTTTTGATCGTGTGGCTTTAATAATGTTTTAACCTTTATATGATTTTAAATTCATATTTTAATGTATATGTTTATTTTATGTCTGTTGTGTATATGGCATCAAATTATTGCCTTTGTAAGGCTGCTCTGAGTCTGCTTTGGAGTTAAGAAGGGTTGGGTATAAATACTATAAATAAATAATTGTGTGTGTGTGTGTGTATGTATGTGTGTGTATATATGTATGTATATATGTGTGTGTGTGTATGTGTGTGTGTGTATATATATATATATATATATATATATATATAAATAATAGTACAAAGCTGTCTTGTATGACAAGGGTGGGCAACCATAGAGGGCTAGGAGATCACATCCCTTTTGGAGATTTTGGGGGACTCCGCACTACATTGTGCCTGCTCCACAAAATAAAATTAAAGAGGGGGTTTGCTCTAAGGGGCATAGAGAACATATGTTTTGGGCCTCCCTAAGCTATTTTAGGAACCTCCGGTAGTGCAGTGGGTTAAAGCGCTGAGCTGCTGAGCTTGTTGACCAAAAGGTTGCAGGTTTGAATCCGAGGAGCGGCGTAAGCTTCCGCTGTCAGCCCCAGCTTCTGCCAACCTAGCAGTTCGAAAACATGCAAATATGAGTAGAGCAATAGGTACAGCTCTGGCAGAAAGGTAGCGGCGCCCGATGCAGTCATGCCGGCCACATGACTCTGGAGGTGTCTATGGACAATGCCAGCTCTTTGGCTTAGAAATTGAGATGAGCACCAACCCCGAGTCAGACACGACTCTGGGGACCTTAAACTATTTTAGATCCATAAAAAGAAATGTATTTTAGCGGTGGGAAGCAAGTGGAAGTCATTTGTTTTGGGGGATCACCCTTCTCGAGGCCATTTAGAGGACATATTTTTAAAATGTTTTGCCAAATATTCTTTTTTAAAGCACTGACAAATCCAGAGGGCATCCGGATGTGGTGGAAATGCCCTCTGCGCCCCCTAGAGGTTGTCTTGGGGCATTATGTAGCCAAAACATTTTGACCCCTCCATAGTATCCTGGGTGCTTTTTACTCATCCTGGTTGAACAGTAGGAAGCCTCCTTGTACAGAAAAGAGGGTCTTGCAGATCTAGTGATTTACTGTAATTGGGTGAAGCTCTCCTGGGCAGAGACAAGTTTTCCACATTTTGTTATCACATCCTTTTCAATGGCACTTGTCAGTGAATGCAAAGTATGTGTTTCAACGCCAGTTGTATTTCCCTGCTCCCCATACTAATCTGCATCCTCATCAAATGTTGTCTCCCATCCCGATCTGTTTCAGCAAGCGGTGGGGATTACTGGCGCATCCTGAACCCTGGCGAATACCGCGTCACGGCCAGAGCGGAAGGCTACAATCCGAGTGTCAAAACCTGCAATGTTTTTTACGACATCGGAGCCACCCAGTGCAACTTCATCTTGTCACGGTCCAACTGGAAACGCATTCGGGAGATCATGGCCATGAATGGGCACAGGCCGTTGGGAATGCCCGTATCTGGCCGGCCCATGACACCCCGGGAGCGAATGCAATGGAGGAGGAGGATGCGCCAGAGAGCTCGCCTGCGCCAGCAGATGCGCAACCGGCTACGGCAGACCACACGTGCTCCAACGACTCCTGCCCCGACCACAGATTTCCCCTTTTCGTTCAGCAGCACCACACTCCTTCCGTGGAGTCAGGAGGCTCCCACTGCCCTACCAGCCACTACCTGGGAAACTGAGATCTACACGGAGACAGTGACTGAATGGGAAACAGTAACTGAGGATGTAATAGAGGGGGAAACCGAGGAGACCAGAGAAGAGACCACGGGCACCGCTTTTCCCATGACCACAGTAGAAACGTACACAGTAAACTTTGGAGACTAGAAGCAGCTGCCCAACATGCTGTGACTATGGGCCGGAACATTTGTAAAATATTCGTAAAGCTTGCCCTGCCTTCTGTATAATGCTGTATCCATTCATCATCAGCTGCTTTTAGAATCCACTGGGGAATCCACCGCTTTGAGCAGCCTCCAACAGCCACAGCACTTACTCCTCTGCCTGTCTCTCCTTTACATACACACATCTTTCTGTGCAGAAACAACAGTTTGTCTCCCCCAAAGGCCTGTTATTCCAACCATATACACCAGGGGCCCTGGTGGCGCAGTGGGTTAAACCGCTGAGCTGCTGAACTTGCGGACTGAAAGGTTGGTGGTTTGAATCTGGGAAGTTGGGTGAGTTCCCATTGTTAGCCCCAGCTTCTGCCAACCTAGCAGTTTGAAAACATGCAAATGTGAGAAGATCAGTAGGTACCGCTTCTGCGGGAAGGTAACAGTGCTCCATGCAGTCATGCTGGCCACATGAAGTAGGAGGTGTCTACGGACAATGCAAGCTCTTCAGCTTAGAAATGGAGATGAGCATCAACCCCTACAGTCAAACACAGCTAGACTTATTGTCAAGGGGAAACCTTTACCTTTTTTATACACCTAGTAAGTGGGAAGTTGAAGTGAGTATCCCATGTAGTTGAGCTGGGTTCTGAAGCACGAAACAGAGTCATGACATCTTCCCTCATGAATCTTTTTCCTTTAATAAAACTGTTTTCTCCTCTGTCTTTACAAAACTCCTTACAGTAAGGCCATTATAAAAGAATTTACAAAAAGCTCTGTTAAGTTAAATGCAATTGGCATTTTAAAATCAATATATGTTACCATACCTAAATGTGCTTGATTACAATTTTTTTTCCAGGAAAACCCAGTTTTTTTGGGAAGCTTGATTAGTAAAATATCTGAATGGAAAGTGGCAAGAGACTCCTGAGTACCAGAGTCAAAAGAGAAAAGCACAGAAAGAGCTCAAGATGTGTGGGAAGGAAGTGCCATCAATCCTGACTACTGTGTCAGCCGCTCATAAGTTTCTAAATTTGCAAACCTCTTTTTCAGTCTTTACCTTCTTGCTTGTGAGAATTGAAAGTTTGCCAGCTTTCTCAGTGATGCCCAAAGTGCTATGAGATCTGTAAGAGTTCAGCCTGACCTCCTCACTATTTCAAATGTAGCTTCTCATCCAGAGAGTTGCTACAAGGAGACTGTCCTTTGCAAGTGCCGGGTGGCAGAAGGAGAGATTGTTTTTTTCCAGGTTCAGTATTCCAGGCCAATGAAGTGCAATCATAAGCCCTTCTGACTTCGTAAGAGTTCTTGTGTATTTGAATAAAGTGGTTTATATAAGAAGGTACGGTTGCATTTCTGCATTTATTTTTTTATAAACACATAAAATTCTTGTGGAAGGAAGGAAAACAGCACAAAGAAGAAAATGGAAGTACAAAGCATACCTTTTAACGCAATCTTCTCTCTGAGCCCAAGGTTCAAGTATTTGTGTGTAGGGAGGAATATAAATTCAAGCCCCCCCCCCCCCCATCTCTTTGATATGTTCATTTGGCAAAGCAGGAGGAGACTATGCTTCTTACTGGCCAGTCTCCATTGCCACCGCTTCTTCTTCATCATCATCATTGGCACCAAAGGCAGAGAAACTGGCTGGTTGGCAAGTGAGGTCACGCAGATTGATCAAGCAGGCAGTTTGTGTTGTGCTGAAGTCAGGAAGGGTCAACAACAAAACCTTCTGGCCATCATCGCCTGCAAAACAGGAAAATAAAAGATGATGGTATGTAACAGAAAGGACAAAATTGGACATAAGACACCCAACAACCCAATGTATGTCCTTCACTCAAAAAAACTGTTTTCATCACTTGGGAGTTGTACTTGCTGGAATTTATAGTTCACCTACAATCAAAGAGCATTCTGAACCCCACCAAAGATGGAATTGAACCAAATTTGGCACACAGTTCTTCCATGACCAATGGAAAATACTGGAAGGGTTTGATGGGCAGTGTCCTTTGGTTTTGGAGTTGTAGTTCATCTACATCCAGAGATCACTGTGGACTCAAACAATGATGGATCTGGACCAAACTCTACACGAATACTCAATATGCCCAAATGTGGACACTGGTGGAGTTTGGGGAAAATAGAATCTTGACATTTGGAAGTTGTAGTTCCTGGGATTTATAGTTCACCTACAATCACAGAGCATTCTGAACTCCACCAACGATAGAATTGGGCCAAACCTCCTACACAGCGAAGAGAGGGGAGGCCAGGGGACAGCACCATCATGTCTCCTGCCTTTGCCATCCTTTGGGGACCCCTCCCCCCAGCACCAACTGCCGCTCTGGACCAGAGTGAAGAAAGGGGGGCCAGAGGACAGTTCCACCTTGTCTCCTGTGCTATTCTAATAATATGTTATAATATAATATATAATATATTGTGTATACATATAATATTTATAATATTGTAATGTGATGCAATATAATACTACTACTAATAATATGATATTATAATTATATATTTATATTACATGTAATATTACTAATAATATTACTGTATAATTGATATAGTGCAATATAGCAATATTTAAAACTGATATTGTACTATGTTAATAATATATTGTATGTATATATATCTTGTAAGCCGCTCTGAGTCCCCTTCGGGGTGAGAAGGGCGGCATATAAATGTCGTAAATAAATAAATAAATACACAGAACCCCCATGTGGGCCACAGCAACACGTGGCAGGGGACAGCTAGTCTATATAAATAAAAATGTAATGTTTGTTTGTGGGATTAACATAACTCAAAAACCACTGGACGAATTGACACTAAATTTGCACACAATACACCTATCAGGCCAATAAGTGACCATCACTAAAAAAATAATAATGATTTTGTCATTTGGGAGTTGTAGTTGATGGGATTAATAGATCATCTACAATCAAAGAGAATTCTGAACTCCACCAATGATGGAATGTAACCAAACGTGGCACACAGGACTCCCATGATCAACAGAAAATATTAGAAGGGTTTGGTGGGCATTGACCTTGAGTTTGGGAGCTGCAGTTCACCTACATCCAGAGAGCACTTTGGACTCAAACAATAATTGATCTGGACCAAACTTGGCATGGATATTCCAAATGCCCAAATATGAACATAGATGATGTTTGGTGGGAACAGACCTTGACATTTGGGAGTTGTAGTTGCTGGAATTTACAGTTCACCTACTATCAAAGAGCATTCTGAACACCACCAATGACAGAATTGGAGCAAACTTCCCACACGGGACCCCCATGACCAACAGAAAAGCCTTAAGGCCATCCAGTCCAACTTTGTTCAGCAGTGTAAGAAAAAGTAATCAAAGCCCTCCTGATAAAAAGCCATCCAGCCATAGATATAGATAGATATGATTCACACACACATAGATATAGAATCATAGAATCCAAGAGTTGGAAGAGACCTCATGGGCCATCCAGTCCAACCCCCTGCCAAGAAGCAGGAATATTGCATTCAAATCACCCCTGACAGATGGCCATCCAGCCTCTGTTTAAAAGCTTCCAAAGAAGGAGCCTCCACCACACTCCCTCTGGGGCAGAGAGTTCCACTGCTGAACGGCTCTCACAATCAGGAAGTTCTTCCTAATGTTCAGGTGGAATCTCCTTTCCTGTAGTTGACATCCACGGCATTTCCCACATCTACCCAGCTTGTAACTCTATCGAAAAAAGAGATCAGATTAGTCTGGCATGACTTATTTTTGATAAATCCATGTTGACTATTAGCGATGACCGCATTTGTTTCTAAGTGTTTGCAGACCACTTCCTTAACAATCTTTTCCAGAATCTTGCCTGGTATCGACGTGAGGCTGACCGGACGGTAGTTGTTTGGGTCATCCTTTTTTCCCTTCTTGAAGATTGGGACCACATTGGCCCTCCTCCAATCTGCTGGAACTTCTCCCGTTCTCCAAGAACTCTCAAAGATGGTTGCCAATGGTTCCGAAATGACTTCCGCTAGTTCCTTCAATACTCTGGGGTGTAGTTGATCTGGCCCTGGGGACTTGAACTCATTAAGAGCGGCCAGGTATTCCTGGATGACTTCTTTCCCAATTTGGGGTTGGATGTCCTCCAATCCCTCATCCACTCCATCTTGCTGAGGTTGAAGACTCTCTTTTTGTGAGAAGACCGAGGCAAAGAAGGCATTAAGTAGTTCTGCCTTTTCCCTATCCCCTGTCAGCATTGCCCCATCTTCTCCTCGAAGAGGAGATATAATATCATAGGTTTGAAAGGGACCCCTAAAGAAGGACAATTATATGTTGCATATTCCAGACTGGGCCACTGCAACGCGTGGCAGGGGGCGGCTAGTAATAATAATAATAGACTGATAGAGTTTCGGAGCACAATACTCCTGATCATGTTAAAAAACTAAGTATGGATCATTGATGTTACAATCCCAGGTGACAGCAGGATTGAAGAGAAATGACTGGAAAAGCTGGCCCGATACCAGGATTTAAAGATCGAACTGCAAAGACTCTGGTACAAGCCAGTTAAGGTGCACCCAGTGGTGATTGGCACACTGGATGCAGTATCAAAAGACCTTGGCCTGCACTTAAACACAACCGGCTGACAAAATTACCATCTGTCAACTGCAAAAGGCCACCCTACTGAGAGCTGCACACATTATTCACCAATACATCACACAGTCCTAAGGACCACTTGGGACCATCAGAAAATAATGTGCTTTCTGGTGGTCTTTGGTGACCCTTCTGACACCCCTCACGAGACCCCCCCCCCCCCCGATATAGTATCATAGATTTGGAAGGGGCCCCTAAAGAAGGACAGTTATAAACCAAACAATCTCTACAATAGTGACAAAGAAACAATAAGAAGCACTGTTTACCCACAAGCATAAAGAAATTACATATATTAGAAACCAACACTTTCTCATTACTTTATTATCCTGACCACCAGACTGGGCCACAGCAACATGTGGCAGGGGACGGCTAGTTCTATGTAAAAAAAGAGTTTTCATTCAGGCACTAACATGTTTCATTTGGTGGAACAATATGTCTACAAAGCAACTCAACTAGCAAATAGTGCCTCACCTCTTCCCCTGTTTTCTCTCATCATAACATTCTGACAGATTTCACAAGAAGTAATTGCATAAAGCTACTCAAAAAAGGTCCAGTGATTATGACGATGCCTATGAGAAAAACCAAAAAATCAATGTCTCGACCATTAGATCCAGCCATTAACTCACTCACCTCTGACCACTTTGGATTTGAAGGTAGGCGCATTCCCACAGAAATAGACATGAGGGCAGTCAGTGAAGATGAAGGGGTCCGTCTTGTAAAACGGGTAACAGCCTGAAAAGCAATATAAAATAAATCCCTGCTTGCAGATACTCAAGAGTAAAACAGAGAGGTAATCTAAAAACGTGAGATTATAAAGAAAATGTATTCAGAAAGAGGGAAAACAGCAGATATTATTTCATCAACAACAAGCTGTCAAAACGATGTTGAATTTAGAAACGAGTAGGAAAGAATTGGTGATTATTTTACTCACAGTGGGAAGATTCATAATAGCAAGGAACTGGAAAATAATAACTAATCTAACACCAGAAGCATGGTCTAGGGAGGTATGGAATGTAGCCTTAAATGATAAACTAACAATGGAAATGAGGGTATTCAGGGGGAAAATTAACAGATCGGATTTTGAGGCATACTGGTCGGTGTTTATTAAATATGCTTTAGAGAGTGAAAAAGGAAAACAATATAACCCTGTTGATCTGGAATTTTGGATATGACATTTGATTAATGGTTGATTTATAAATATATGGTGAAGGAAAGGATACTTGTTCAGGCCTTGGTGGTGGGGCTATGTGTTTGTAAAATGTTCACTGTTTTGTGTTTTGTTCACACTGTAAATTGTTATTGTATGTAAATAAAATCTTTAAAACTATTTTTAAAAAAAACGACTCATAAAAGAAGAGCCGGCGTTGTCCGTAGACACCTCCAAGGCCATGTGGCGGCATGACTGCATGGAGCACCGTTACCTTCCTGCAGAAGTAGTACCTATTGATTTACTCACATTTGCATGTTTTTGAACTGCTAGATTGGCAGAAGCTGGGGCTAACAGTGGGAGCTCACCCCGCTCCCCAGATTCAAACTTTCGGTCAGCAAGTTCAGTGGTTTAATCCACTGTGCCACCAGGGGCCCTTAAACTATTCTTAGTAAATTAATATTCTTGATGACAGAAATGCTCAGATTCATTCTAACCTTTCCTGTTTTTAACTGCTTCACATTGTTGCCAACTGTGGTCAGCAATATAAGAAACTAAAGGATGCTTTGAATGCGATTCTCCTGCTTCTGGGCAGGGGTTGGACTGGTTGGCCTACAAAATCTCTTCCAATATGATCCTATGAGGTACAAATATAGGCACTGCGAGTTCACATCTTGCCTTTCTCTGCATTCCCTGACAAACCCCTAACAGACATCCAGCTATCTACACAATACTCTCTTTATGGATACTAGTTCATAAGAAATAGCCAGAGAAGGAAAGACCCTTGAGGGATTTACCGAGCGTGTCTGGGGCAGTGGGGCTGAGATGCCCAATCCGTAACGTCCACTCCAAAATTTCCAAATAGTCAGACATGCTGCTGTATTTGAAGATATCATTAATATTCTGACCCGAAGTCCCCAAAAACCTAAATTAAGAAGAGAAACAAATCCATGTATACCTGATTGATGAGGCATAAACTAAGGCTAAATATTTCCTACATATGTTTATACTGAACTCTTTCCTAGGTCTGTTTCCTCTTTCCCAGTACTGCAGCTTCTATCATCTTCAGTGAGAATAAGGAGGGTTGTTCCATATACAGCTCACTTTTTCCAGTCCCATGTTAATGCAGCACTTTTTTCCTAATAAGATGTATATCTTTGTTCCCATGGTGACCCCAGAAAATACATATCCTGCTTTTTAATCATAGCAGTTAGTCCATTCTGTAACACCAAGGCTGGCAGACCGGGCTACAAATCAGGGCTACAAATGATCGCTTGAAGTATCACAGAATTCAAAACAAATTATCTCTTATGAATTGTTGAAGGCTTTCATGGCCAGAATCACTGGGTTGCTGTGAATTTTTGGGGCTGTATGGCTATGTTCCAGAAGCATTCTCTCCTGACGTTTCACCCACATCTATGGCAGGCATCCTCAGAGGCTGCGAGGTATATTGGAAGCTAAACAAGGGAGGTTTATATATCTGTGGAGGGTCCAGGGTGGGAGAAAGAACTCTTCTCTGCTGGAGGCAAGTGTGAATGTTGTTTCTCTCACCCTGGACCTTCCACAGTGTTGCACACCAACACGTAAACACACCAGCGTTCTTTACAGCAAAGCAGTTTATTGAGGGTTAATATAGCAATAGCCAAAAAGGTAAAAAAGCATTCAAACAAGTAATAAAGAAATGTCCACAAAACAGTCAGTTGAGCATGATAAAACAAGACCGTCAATTATAAGTCAGGAACCAGGAGGGTTGCAAAAATCCAATAAACAAGTTCACAGACGTTAGAGTCTTTTAGTTCCAAAAGGTTGCAAAGACCAAAATCCCTTGAAGAAACAGCAACAAACTTGAACCATTAAATCCCAATGTAGGAGCTTGAGACTAGGACAAACTGTATATAAGAATCTCAGCATGAACATGAATCCCAGGCAGAAGTAAACAAGAATCTTAACATGAACAAGAAGGCATGGATACCTGGCATGAAGCAAAGGACATGGTTACACATGAAAACCAAACGTTGAACTCACCGAAGAGTGTAGATTCACAGGCCGTATATTTATTCAGAAAGCCATAGCAAAAGCATTCCGTTTCCCTTGGGAAACCTCTCCCTGACCTTTTTTTTCTCTTAATCTTTCAGATCGTCTTCTACCCCCTTCCAGGTGGTGATGTTGATTGATTTGACTTCTCCTCTCAAAAAGTGTCTGGTCCTCCCTCAGCTTGCCAATTAGTATCATAGAATCATAGAATCAAAGAGTTGGAAGAGACCTCATGGGCCATCCAGTCCAGCCTTTTCTGTGGTGGCCCCCCGTCTCTGGAACACCCTCCCAAAAGATCTTAGACAGGCCCCTACATTGGCAGTCTTTAGAAAGAACTTGAAGACCTGGCTGTTCTGATTTGCCTTTCTAGAATAGGAAATCTCCAATAACAAGTCCTCGAAGCACTTTTAGTAGAACTAAGATTATTGCACACCGCACACTGCACTTGCCCTATAATCCTTGTATACCACCTGCCACATTAGCACTTTTAATCCTGTACCCATTACTCTGGCCCGGCCCAGTTTTTATTGTGTCTTGATATACTGTCTATTGCATGTCGTCAATATTGCTTCAACTGTTTTTAATTTTGCTTTTGGTGTTATTTTGTTTGTGTTGTGTTTTGTGGCCTCGGCCTTTGTAAGCCGCATCGAGTCCTTCGGGAGATGCTAGCGGGGTACAAATAAAGATAATAATAATAATAATAATAATAATAATAATAACCCCCTGCCAAGAAGCAGGAATATTGCATTCAAATCACCCCTGACAGATGGCCATCCATCCAGTACATTCCTTTCACTATCACTATCAGGCCTTGACCATTCCACCTTTTTCTCAGCCTCTTTTTCTGTTAGCATCGAAGCATCTTTGCCTTGGAAACCAACTATCCCAGAATCCTCAGGTTCACCCTGGCTAACTGTACTCTCTTGACCATCATCTATACACAAATCAGCAGAAACCTGATCATTTAACTCAGACGTTGGAACCTCTGGAGGCTCATGATCATTCTCCTCAGAAGCCGGAGGCAAAGAGGCAATCACAGGCTGAACCCCTACGCACAGATATATAAACCTCCCTTGCCTAATTTCCCACAGATCTCACAACCTCTGAAGATGCCTGCCATAGATGTGGGCAAAACGTCAGGAGAGAATTTATTTATTTATTTATTATTTACTTCATTTATATACTGCTTTTCTCAGCCCTTAGGCAACTCTTATGAGCTTATTAGGAGGCCTCACATAAATGTGGGTTTCACAAGTCTCAGGACTGGTGAGAGCTCCTTGGAAGAAACAAGAAAGAAATTCTCCTTTCCTCCTTTGCCCTATAGTTTATTCTTGTCCATACTCATTGTGCTGCAAAACAATGACAAACATATCTGCAATATGCAGGATAAGTATGCTGAGTTGTTGTAAGGTCGACAACTTGCTAATGCATATGAAACACTTGCATTGCTCAAAAGCATTCCAGAAATATTTAGAATTAATGATGGCTGTAGTACTAAGGGATTTTGAGAGTACCCTAAAACTAAACCATACCTGATCCCATCAATGTTTGCTTGGTAGGGATTGGTGACCAGCTGCAGTGTGGAGTAGGCACTCGAGAGAGGAAACATGCAGCGATGGAGGGGCTGCTGGGGCAACGTGTAGTTGGTAGGATCAAATTCCCCAGGCATTACATCGACAGGGACAGACATCTGGAAGGGCAAGTCAATAATAATAATAACAACAACAACAACGACAACAACCAACATTGAGAGAAGTCAATAGTAATAAACTGCTTAAAGTGCAAAAGACAAAGAGGGAATACAGTAAAAAGACAATTTAGAGCAGAAGAGCAAACTGGCAAAAGAAGTCTCTCCATAGACAGTTTCTGGGGAAAATTGAGAGCCAAATTGACAAAGAAAAAACATGGCTGTGGTTCACAAATGGAACTCGGAAAAAGGAGACAAAGGAGGGCCTGATTCTGGCAGCCCAAGAACAAGCCATTAGAACCAATGCCATCAAAGCAAGAATTGAAAAGTCGACAACAGATCCCAAATGTAGACTCTGCAAGGAAGCAGATGAAACAATAGATCACACCCTCAGCTGCTGCAAGAAGATCGCGCAGACAGACTACAAGCAGAGGCATAACACCGTTGCTCAGATGATTCATTGTAACTTGTGCCACAGATAACATCTGCCTGCGACAAAGAACTGGTGGGATCACAAGCCGAAAAAAGTTACAGAGAATGAACATGTCAAACTCCTCTGGGACTTCCGAATTCAGACAGACAGAGTTCTAGAGCACAATCCTCCTGACCTCACAATCATGTTAAAAAACAAAGTATGGATTGTCGATGTTGCAATCCCGGGTGACAGCAGGATTGAAGAGAAACAACTGGAAAAGCTGACACAATATGAGGATTTAAAGATCAAACTGCAGACGCTGGCACAAGGCAGTCAAGGTGGTCCCAGTGGTGATCGGCACACTGGGTGCAGTGCCTAAAGACCTTGGCCTGCACTTAAACACAATCGGTGCTGATAAGATTACCATCTGCCAGCTGCAGAAGGCCACCTTACTGGGATCTGCACGCATTATTCGCCGATACATCACACAATCTTGGGAAGTGTCCAACGTGTGATCCAATACAACAGCCAGCAGAGTGTCTGCTGTGGACTCATCTTGTGGTGTTTCAAATAATAATAATAATAATAATAATAATAATAATAAAAAAAAAACATTATTTATATACTGCCCTATCTCCCCAAGGGGACTCAGAGCGGTTTCCATATATGCAAAATAATACAAAAACATACAAAAACATACAACATAAAACAAAAACATAGGCATAAACTATTAACATATACATTAAAATCAATTTAAAACCAGTTCCGCTCTCTTCTTCATGCAAGGTAAGCTGCCAGGAGCCAAGATTTCAATAAGGGGCCTGGACTATTTGGAGTGGGCTGGGCCAAGGCTAGTGCAAGGAGAAGGGAAAATGGGGCTGGCTGAATGCTACTGTGCAAGGATCGGTCTCAGCAATGGCCCTGTTAGGGGGACACTCCACTCAATTCCCGGGCCAATTAAAGGACTATAAAGAAGATCTGGACTGGAAGAAAAGGTGCCCTCAGATGGCAGGGAACTGGGGAATAGATGGGGTACAAGGCCACTCCTAACTGTTGGACTAAGGGCTTGAGACTTTAGACTAGTCATTATTGAAGGCCTAATGAAACCAAGTCTTCAAGTTCTTACGGAAGGAGGTGAGGGATGGGGCCAGCTTTATCTCCTTGGAGAAGGCATTCCAGAGGCAGGGGGCCACCACTGAGAAGGCCCTATCCCTTGTTCCCACCAACTGGCCTTGAGACGGTGGTGGGAGTGAGAGGACCTCCCCGGTGGATCTTAGTGTCCGTGCCGGTTCATAGAGGGAGATGAGATCGTGGAGATAGTCAGGGCCCGAACAGTTTAGAGATGGCAAATTTGCTTTGAGGCTTAGTACAAACTTTTAAGGAGCTATGGAAAACTCTGACATCAAGCTCACTATGATACTTTGTGGCCAGATATGATTGTTTTCCAAGGGATTCTGGATCCACATAGTAGGTCACAATGAGGACATAAGTTTCCAGGTGGAAGACAGTCTCAACAAGGGTTTCTTTGTTGTTAGTACATTTCTCCCTTTCTGCCTCTATTCGTGCCTCCTCAAAATCAATAGCACCGATGATAACAGCTGACCTCCAGTTTACTATGTACTTCTTCATACAGTACACAGTAAACTATAAGACTGGCTGCTAAAAATGTGATGGGCACCAATTCAGGAGGCTTTATAAGTGAATTAGACAGATTTGTGACAATATGGTTACAAATGCCTACCAGTCATGATGTACTACCCCTAGGATCAGTGACAGTGTGAGGCCTATTCCAACATGAGAGGACTATTCTGCCACTGGCATACCTTCCTTGCAGACTTCCTAGAGTCAGACCATCCTCCACTACCCTTTTCCTGAAAACAACACTCACACTCAGCTGCAGCAGGATTTCATCCAGCATTTTCACAGCCTCCACACTGGCAGCCTGGGTCTTCTTGGTCAGATACTTTGCCTGAAGGTGCAAGATTGAAGAAATCAAAAGAATGAGATTTTGTTCATTTTCACCAGCATGTGTACAATTTCAACAGAAAGGAGAAAACCATGAAAATGAACAAAATCAGGTTAGCAGTATTAAAAAAAAACTCTAAAATCAGGACCCTAAATAAAGAGAAACACTAAAAAAGGGGGGAATTTCAGATATGAAACAATCAGGGCCAGCTAACACATCCCAAAAAAGAATTTCCCCAAAGGCAGGAATCAACCAGGCCTTGAAATTGTAAGGCTGTGTAATGCTAATCAAGGTGATTAATTTCAACATTCACACTTGCCTCCAACAGACAAGAGTTCTTTCTCCCATGCTGGATCTTCAACAAATATATAAACCTCCCTATTCTAGTTTCTAACAAACCTCAAAACTTTCGAGGATGCCTGCCATAGATGCAGCTGAAATGCCCAATGAGGGAGATTCATAGAATCATAGAGTTGGAAGAGACCTCATGGGCCATCCAGTCCAACCCCCTGCCAAGAAGCAGGAAAATTGCATTCAAAACACTCCTGACTGATGGCCATCCAGCCTCTGTTTAAAAGCCTAACAAGATTCCACTATCAAGATAACTCTGTATCTATTTTATACACAGGCTATGCTAAATGTGAACTATGTCCAGGCCCACCGACAAAGTCAAGATAAAAAATGTAAATTAACTTTTAAAACATTTTCAAAAACACAACTTAAATCCAGGGGTCCTCAAACTAAGGCCCGGGGGCCGGATGCGGCCCTCCACGGTCTTTTACCCGGCCCTCGCTCAGGGTCAACTTAAGTCTGAAATGACTTGAAAGCACACAACAACAACAACAACAACAACGACAATCCTACTCATCAGCCAAAAGCAGGCCCACACTTCCTATTGAAATACTAATAAGTTTATATTTGTTAAAATTGTTCTTCATTTTAATTATTGTATTTTAAGTGGTTTTGCACCACAAATAAGATATGTGCAGTGTGCATAGGAATTAATTCTTTTTTTTAAAAAAAAATTATAATCCGGCCCTCCAACAGTTTGAGGGACTGTGACCTGGCCCTCTGTGTAAAAGGTTTGAGGACCCCTGACTTAAATCCAACAGATTGAAAATTAAAAACAGACATGACAATAGAAAACCAAATAACATACAAAATAATTCCATAATGTTTTTCCTCCATAGTTTCCTCCTGCCCAACCAAAGAAAACTAACAAATAAATTCTACCTCCATCCACCCCCTTTTAAAAAGATGTAAATAGAAAATATTAAAAACACAACAGACTTCTCGCTTTCTCAGGCTAAGACAGCTGTCAAAACACAAAATATAAACAAACTCAGAGAAAATGTCCCAGCCCTTCACCTTATTCATGGTGTCTCTGCTCTGGGTATTCTGGCTTAGCAAATTGCCACACAGAACGACGCGAGAGATGAGGGCGGCGCTGGACTGTTCGCCCTCGGCGCCCAGCTGTCCGGTCACCATGTCCACAAGGAGCTGCATCCCCAGGAGGCTTTCCCCGCTCTTTCCACCAAGGCCGAGGCCGGACACCAGCAAAACAAACCTGAAGAGCAAGATCCAGCAGGTGAGGGACAGATTCGTATCTGGGTTGTAGCTCTTTTGCTTCAGGAAATTAAATAATTAGCATCATTAATAATGGCACAAGTAGCCAACACATTTTTTAAATTGCTAGCACATTATACATTGTAAAAATGATAAACTGCTTATGTACATTCACTAATATGCAAATGAATAGGACTCAACCCTGATGGCTGAAGCTGTTCAATAGATATGGTCAGTGAAGGAAGCACGAAATCCTCATTTCCAAACAGGAAGATTGTTTCATTATGCTGACCACTGTAAGAAATGGGATGCCAGGCTAAATGAACCCTTGCCAGAGCTTGAAGTTACCTCTGATAATTATGAATGTGCTGACATGACAGGATGATGCCATGGCACCCAGAGCGTCACTGCTCAGGTATGAATGGCTTCATAGAATCATAGAATCAAAGAGTTGGAAGAGACCTCATGGGCCATCCAGTCTAACCCCCTGCCAAGAAGCAGGAATATTGCATTCAAATCACCCCTGACAGATGGCCATCCAACCTCTGTTTAAAAGCTTCCAAAGAAGGAGCCACCACCACACTCCGGGGCAGAGAGTTCCACTGTTGAACAGCTCTCACAGTCAGGAAGTTCTTCCTCATGTTCAGATGGAATCTCCTCTCTTGTAGTTTGAAGCCACTGTTCCGCGTCCTAGTCTCCAAGGAAGCAGAAAACAATCTTGCTCCCTCCTCCCTGTGGCTTCCTCTCACATATTTATACATGGCTATCATATCTCCTCTCAGCCTTCTCTTCTTCAGGCTAAACATGCCCAGCTCCTTAAGTCGCTTCTCATAGGGCTTGTTCTCCAGACCTTTGATCATTTTAGTCGCCCTCCTCTGGACACATTCCAGCTTCTCAATATCTCTCATGTCATTAAATTTAATCCTCTGTATTTCTGTGCTTGGCTGGTCCACCAGGGCTCTCCCTCCATATGTTCTCATGTCAAGCTTACAGGGGGCTCACCTGTCTGTATTGGGGCCCATCATAGGCAGCTGGGTGGGCATGTCTGCAAAGCAGTGGTCTTCAACAAGGAACTTGCCATCATCCCTCTCTGAGCCGTAGACAGCAAGAATGGTCCCTGCATCAGCAGAAAGAAGGAAACCCCTGAGCTTACAATTGGTCATTGCTTACCATCCCTCTGACCCTTTCACCTCCATTTTAACATTCAAAATATTTGGGAAACACAATAAAAACAGTTTTCTGGTCCTTACACATTAGTCAGTTTCACCTTAGAGATATACTTATTTATACCTAAGATCATTATAGCCAAATTTACTTTTTCTGCTACTCAAATTTACTGCCTGATGGGAATAATAATAATAATAATAATTATTATTATTATTAGATACACAACAAGATTAGTATACAGCAAACAAGATCACTATGCTGGGTGTTCTATTGGATCACACATCGGACACTTCCCAAGTGTCTAGGACTGTGTGATGTATCGGCGAATAATGTGTGCAGATCCAAGTAGGGTGGTGTTTTGCAGCTGACAGATGATAATTTTATCAGTGACTATTGTTTTTAAGTGCAGGCCAAGGGCTTTAGGCACTGCATCCAGTGTGATCACTTTACTGGCTTGTTCCAGAGTCTTTGCAGTTCTATCTTTCAATCCTCATAACGTGTAAGCTTTTCCAGTTGCTTCTCGTCAACTTTGCTGTCACCTGGGATTGCAACACCGATGATCCATGATTTGCTTTTTCCACAATTGTGAGATCAGGCGTATTGGAGCCCTCGGTGGCGCAGTGGGTTAAACCCCTGTGCTGAAGTGGCAGGTTCGAATCCGCGGAGCTCACTCTATCAGCTCCAGCTCCTCGTGCGATTAGCTCCCTCTATTAGCTCCAGCTCCTCATGAGAGAAGCCTCCCACAAGGATGGTAAAACATCAAAACGTCTGGGTGTCTCTTGGGCAACGGTCCTTGCAGACAGCCAATTCCTTCACACCAGAAGAGACTTGCAGTTTCTCAAGTTGCTCCTGACACACACACACACACAAGGAGTACTGTGCTCCCAAACTCTTATCAGTCTGAATTTGGAAGTCCCAGAGTAGTTTGACATGTTCGTTTTGTGTAACTTTTTCAGGCTTGTGATCCCACCAGTTCTTTGTTGCAGGCAGATGGTATTTGTGGCTTCGGCTTTTTTTTTTTTTTTGCTAAAAAGTGACTCAAAGCGGCTTACAGTAAAACCAATGCAATACAATTTAAAAACTAAAAATTTACAAAAGTTAAAATATAATTAAATATTAACAGTATTAAACATAAGCATGTATAAGTCTGATTAAAAACCTGATTAAAAACTTATTCATACCTAAAAGCACAGCACCCCCAACTTAGTCTTTAAAACTTCCTTCTATAAAAATCTAGCCAAAATAAAAAGGTTTTAGACTGCCGCTGGAAGAAGTGTTTTAAAAATGAGCCAGAGCTTGTAAACATTTGCTTTCTTGATTACAACTCTAGGCACTACCATCAAAAAGGCAACTGTCTTCCACAAACTAACTGTGACTGCCGTTCCAGGTTTTTTTTTTCATGCCAGGAGTAACTTGAGGAACTGCAAGTTGCTTCTTATGTGAGAGAATGGGAAGCTAGAGCCAAGATGGGAGCTCACTCTGTTCCTTGGATTTGAACTGCCAACCTGTCAGTCAGCAGTCCTGCCGGCACAACCCATTCCATCATCAGAGATAAACTGGACTGAAAACCTAGATTTGTCCTCATAGTATACAAGGCAAGTTAAGACATTTTTGATAAGAAGGGGGAGTGAATATGTAGAATTCTGAAGATTTCTATGCTGCTGCTTTGATTGTTGAATCTCATTCCTTGGCCCCTTGATCCCACTTTGCCTGTCCCAAGGAATCCTACCTGTTACCAACTTGTCAATTTGTATGTCTCCTTCCAGTTTGATTCGCTGCAGCTCATCCTCCAAAATCAGCTCATCCGACTGGTGGATGTACTTGGTCCGGGGCGGTTGTGGGGGCAGATTGTGCTGCAGAGGCAACAACACCGGGCAGTGAGGAAGGCACCAAGCTACACCTTTAGGAACTACATTCTTATCATGAAAAAGCCTTGCAGCAACCTCAGATATTTCACCTTAATGTTATTTATATACCGTATATACTTGAATATAAGCTGACCCAAATATAAGCCGAGGCACCCAATTTTACCACAAAATGTTTTTGAATATTTACATAAAACTGTAATGTATGACTGTTCAGCTCTGATGAAACCATTATTCTAGCCTCCTTCAATGTAAATGTGCTTATGTATCCTTCCAATAATGACAACAAAATAATAAATTTAATAACAAGAATAAAGATGTAATAAAAATAATAGAGTAAAATAATGTAAATGTAATAATATCAATAATAGAGTAAACAATAAATGTAATAAAAAAAATAATAGAGTAATAACATAAATATGTGGTGTTGGAGGAAAGTTCTGAGAGTGCCTTGGACTGCGAGAAGATCCAACCAGTCCATCCTCCAGGAAATAAAGCCCGACTGCTCATTGGAGGGAAGGATACTAGAGACAAAGTTGAAGTACTTTGGCCACATCATGAGGAGACAGCAAAGCTTAGAGAAGACAATTATGCTGGGGAAAGTGGAAGGTAAAAGAGGGGCCAACCAAGGGCAAGATGGATGGATGGCATCCTTGAAGTGACTGGACTGACCTTGAAGGAGCTGGGGGTGGTGACGGCCGACAGGGAGCTCTAGCGTGGGCTGGTCCATGAGGTCACGAAGAGTCGGAGATGACTGAACGAATGAACAACAACAACATAAATATAATAAAAAGAATACTAATAACAGAGTAAAATAATAAATAACCTTGGCTCAAGTATAAGCCAAGGGGAGCTTTTTCAGCCTAAAAAAGGGACTCAAAACTAAGCTTATACTCGAGTATATACAGTACTTGTTTGTTTGTTTCATTTATATACTGCTTTTCTTAATCCTAGGGGGACTCAAAGAAGTTCACAACAAAGCAAATGGCAAAATTCAATGCCTCACAATATAATATGCATTGCATAACTAAAATAACACATTACAGTAAATGAAAACCAATGAACTATAAAACATCAGACATAAACAAACATAAGAAATCCAACACTGCACAAATCCTAGGATATCTTGCTCTTCTGACCCTCCATTCCCAGCCCTTTGATTCTACCCCCCACTGCATAAACCCCTGCAGGAGAGCTTGGAAAAAAACCACTTCTATAGAAGAGCAAGCTAGATAGTTGTTTGAACTGAACCATGGGGGATGTTTGTTATGTTCTCAAAGCAGGGCTGTATGATATTGCTGAATGAATTAATTAATTTTATTATTATGGTCACAGACCAGGAGTGTAAAACATTACAAAACATCCATTCATCCATCGATGAATGGCATCCTTTTCATGTAGAACATCTTAGGTCCAATCCCTGGCATCTCCCACTAAACTGCAGCAAAATAAGATCCCAGGTTATGACTTTGTAATTTTTCTGTACAGTTTTGTTGTTTCAGAAAAGAAAGAAAGCAAGTGAGAGAAAGAGAAATAAAAAAAGAGATTAAAAATAAGTGCTTGGAGAGACAGTAAAACTTAGAACAGGGATTACAAAGCTAGACTGATCTATATAGCAATTTCAGTGGTACTCATATGACTTAATGAACATAATTACATTCTTTCGTTACCTCTTCACTGATTTCCCGCAGGATGGATGGTTGAAGCTGCATAGATTTAAAGAGAGTCCCCACAACACAGCACTTCTCTGCAACTTGCAGCTCACAAAGTTTCTTCACTGTAATGTTGCTCCCTTTGAGAGAATGACCAGAGGTTTACATGCCTGGAATCTTTCATGGAGGAACAGTGAAGCCAACATACAGATATATATTTTTTGCTAAGTAACAAATACGTCATTTCAGCATGTAAAAGGTATAACAACACTCCAGGATGACATATACAATCAGAAACAGAGAAACAATTTGAACAATTCTAAACAAAAGTTTGGCAAAGCTGGGACAAACAACACACAATAAATTAATATTACATGTTAAACACCTCACAATTTTTTTAAAAAAAAATGTTTGTCTTGTGCTGTACAAACATCAAAATCAGCACCTGGTACAGACACTGGGACTGGTATTCCAAAAATAAAGTTCCACCAGTGATAAAAAGATATTTTTTTCTAACCATGACCCATATCATTTGAAATACAGGTGTGAACCAGAAGAGTACACAAAATAATCTATGTCAGGAAAAAATACTCAGGGAGCATAAAGCATATGATATTCAGTATATACTTCAGTGTAATTCAATATATTCACATAGAGTGAAATGAAAAGGAGCAACTGCTCTCAAACATAATACATGTACTATAGTCATATAAAGTAAATGATAAAGGAGCAACCGCTCTCAAACATACAGTTGTAAGATCCCAATATATACGGGGAAGCATTTGTTGGGCTCTGCTGCAAGAGGGATCCTGGGGCCTGAGTATTGCCATCCAGCTTTGCTGCCTGCTCAGCCCTGGGCTTACCCACGAGGAGACCTGCAGCCACACCCTCATTCCAGCCAGCTGACCCAGCAGGGAGAGAACATGGCCCCCGCAACCTTGCCGCGCTGCTACTTTAATGGCTGTGCGACCCATTGCCCAGCTGCCGGAATACCTGCACCGGGTGCCTCCATAGCCACGCTGCTCATCATTTGGACATTGGAACACCTGTGCGGGCGTTCATTTTCGGGGTTTTCCTGCCTCTCTTGTTGCTTCAGACCACTTTTTTCCATCAGCCCACTTTGTTTGGGATTCAATGTTTACTTTTAAGCTCTTTTTTGTATTTATATTTGAATTATTGTATGTTTATTTTTAAGCTTTTTTTATTGTATTTCTATTTGAATTACTTCTAAGCTTTTTAGTGTATTTATATTCGAATTATTATGTCATGTTTATTACTGTATGTTTAAATTGATATGTTAATTGTTTAAATTCATATGTTATGTATTATTATATGTGTAATGTGGCATTGTATGCCATGAATTGTAATTCGCCCTGAGTCTCCCACTGGGGTGAGAAGGGTGGGGTATAAATGTAGTATAATAATAATATAATAATAGCAATAATACAAACTCTTTTCAAATAAGGTGAGAAAACAATGAGCCATAAAGTCCATAATCCAGAAGCGAGTTCAAATGGTAGTAGTATCCAAATGATGATGGAGCTTGGCTCTCAAAAGAAATCTTCGTAGGGAAAATCCTACAGGGATGCCCGGGTAATATTATATACCCTGTGTCGGGGATAAATTCCCCTTCTTCAGGAGTTAATAACACAGTGATATTGGCTCATGTATAATGCCTGAAGCTTTACATACGCACTTTACTATTGTTAAGCAGAGCACTTTAGACCTAGCACTTTATTAATGTGCCTTTGAATGTGTGTTGCTACTAACTAATTGCGATCAGTTACGATCACTGATGGACTGCTCCTAAAATCTATGCACTGTAAGAACTGTTCTATAGAAGCCGTCGGAACATCGACCGCCATCTGTATAGCTGCTACCCATGTGGTCCCCTGCCCCCTTTTGTGTATTGTTTCTGCTGCTTGGGTGTAGCGGTGGGGGCAGAAGGGGAGGTGGCCTAGAGCCTGTGATTGAAGGTGTGGTGGGGAGGGGGGAGGAGGGGGGGGAGATGCTGGCAAGAACCAAGGCACCTAACAACAACCGTAGGAGACAGTGTTCTCATACCCCGGGATTGCGGCATGGAGGGGGGGAGGTGTTCCACTAGCCGAGGGGCCCCCATAGAGGTCGTGGTGGGAAGGAGGAGATGCGGGAGAAGGAGACCTCGAATTCGGCCTAATTCGGACCGCTTATCCAAATTAACCATTCCCAATAGGTCTCCTAAGGTAAATTGGTGTAACCAGGTGAGCGGGCCCTCCGGCTTGAAGGTGGTGTTGTTGAACGCCAGGTCTGTCAACGGAAAAACAACTTGGATCCAGGATTTAATCCTGGAGGAGCGGGCAGATCTGGCGTGCATCACGGAGACCTGGCTGGATGAAGCGGGGGGCGTAAACCTCTCCCAGCTCTGTCCTCCAGGTTTTTCCGTGCAACACCAACCAAGAGCCGGAGGACGGGGAGGCGGTGTCGCAGTGGTCTATAGAGATTCCATCCATCTAACCAGGGGCCCCATCCCGCAGACCACAAATTTTGAATGCGTCCACCTGAGGGTGGGTGACCGGGACAGAATAGGGATTCTGGTAGTGTACCGTCCACCTCGCTGCACTACAGTCTCCCTACCTGAGCTAGCGGGGGTGGTCTCGAGCCTGGCGGTGGAGTCCCAACGGCTTCTTGTGCTGGGGGACTTCAACATCCACGCCGAGGCAACCCTCACAGGTGCGGCTCAGGACTTCATGTCCGCCATGGCAACCATGGGGCTGTCCCAACGAATAACTGGCCCCACCCACTGTGCTGGACACATTGGACTTGGTTTTCTGCCAGGGATGGGAGCAGGGTGGCGGTGTGGAGGAGTTGCCATCTCTCCGTTGCCGTGGACCGACCACTTCCTGATTAGATTTAGACTCACTGCGCCCCCTAACCTCCGCAGGGTGGAGGACCCATTAAGATGGTCCGCCCCAGGAGGCTAATGGATCCGAATGGATTCCTGACGGCTCTTGGGGAGTTTCCCGCCACCTTGGTAGGTGCTCATGTCGAGGCCTTGGTCGCTCTCTGGAATGGGGAGATGACTAGGGCAATTGACATGATCGCTCCGGAACGTCCCCTCTCAAGTAACCGAGCTAAACCAGCCCCTTGGTTCACTGAGGAGCTGGCAGCGATGAAGCGAAAGAAGAGGGGTCTAGAGAGCGTGTGGCGTTCGGATCCAGCGAGCCAAATCGAACACGGTTTGTGTCCTTTTTAAGGGCATATGCCGCGGCAATAAAAGCCGCAAAGAAAACTTTCCTTGCGGCCACTATTGCGTCTGCAAAGAACCGTCCGGCGGAGTTGTTTCGGATTGTCAGAGGTCTTTTAACTCCCGCCACCTCAGGCGGGAGCCCTGACAATTCGGTCACGCGCTGTGAAGCATTTGCTCGGTTCTTTGCAGACAAAGTCGCTTTGATCCGCTCTGAGCTGGACACCATGTTAAATGCAGTCTCTGTGGATGTGACACGAGCACCTGCTTGTCCTATTTTGATGGATTCTTTTCAGTTTGTGAAGCCCGAGGATGTGGACAAGATACTTGGAGGAATGAGACCTACCACGTCCATCCTAGACCCCTGCCCATCCTGGCTTCTGAAGGAGGCCAGAGGGGGATTGGCCGAGTGGGTAACGGTGGTGGTTAATGCCTCCCTTCGGGAAGGCAAGATTCCAGCGAGCCTAAAACAGGCTATTATAAAGCCGCTGTTGAAGAAACCATCACTGGACCCCACTAAATTGGACAACTTTCGGCCTGTTTCCAATCTTCCCTTTTTGGGCAAAGTCATGGAAAGCGTGGTGGCCTCACAACTCCAGGTATTCTTGAGAGACACGGATATTCTGGATCCGGCACAGTCTGGTTTCAGACCGGGACATGGTACTGAGACGGTCTTGGTCGCCTTAGTGGATGATCTGCGCCGGGAGCTAGACAGGGGGAGTGTGTCCCTGTTGGTGCTACTGGACCTCTCAGCGGCCTTCGATACCGTCGACCACGGTATTCTTCTGGGGCGCCTTGCAGAGATGGGTCTCGGGGGCACTGCGCTGCAGTGGCTCCGATCATTTCTGGAGGGTCGTACCCAGAAGGTGTTATGGGGGGACTCCTGCTCAGCGCCACGGCCGTTGACCTGTGGCGTTCCTCAGGGTTCCATCTTGTCCCCCCTGCTGTTTAACATCTACATGAAGCCGCTGGGTGAGATCATCCGGAGTTTCGGGGTGCGGTGTCACCTGTACGCAGATGACGTCCAACTCTGTCACTCCTTCCCACCTGCTACTAAGGAGGCTGTCGAAGTCCTGAACCGGTGCCTGGCCGCTGTAATGGTCTGGATGAGGGCGAACAAACTGAAATTAAATCCAGACAAGACAGAGGTACTCCTGGTCAGTCGTAAGGCCGAGCAGGGTATAGGGTTACAGCCTGTGCTGGACGGGGTCGCACTCCCCTTGAAGGCGCAGGTTCGCAGCTTGGGTGTGACCCTGGACTCATCGCTGAGCCTGGAGCCCCAGGTTTCAGCGGTGACCAGGGGAGCATTTGCACAGCTTAGGCTCGTGCGCCAGCTGCGCCCGTATCTTGGGAAGTCTGACTTGGCCACGGTGGTACACGCTTGGTCACATCCCGCCTTGACTACTGCAACGCTCTCTACGTGGGGCTGCCCTTGAAAACGGCCCGGAAGCTTCAGCTAGTCCAACGCGCGGCAGCCATGTTGTTAACGGGAGCAGGACGCAGAGAGCGTACAATGCCCCTGCTGTCCCAGCTCCACTGGCTGCCGATTTGCTACCGGGCCCAATTTAAGGTGCTGGTGTTATCCTACAAAGCCCTAAACGGTTCCGGCCCAAAATACCTTGAGACCGCATCTTGGCCTATGAGCCCACGAGGGCCTTGAGATCATCCGGGGAGGCTCTTCTCTCGGTCCCGCCTGCCTCGCAGGCACGTCTGGCGGGGACGAGAGAGAGGGCCTTCTCGGTGGTGGCCCCCCGGTTGTGGAACGCCCTCCCTACTGAAGTTAGACAGGCGCCCTCTTTGATGGCCTTTCGTAGGAGCCTGAAAACTTGGCTCTGCGAGCAGGCCTTCAATTAAGTGTATCTGTGGAACGACGTTAGAATGGACTATGACTACGAACTTGGCTATGACCCCAGGATTAGACGAAGCGGATTTTTAGTATAAGTATATGTCGTAGTAGTAGTTGTTATGTATTGTTATGATTTTGTATGCTGTCCTTCTATGTTGCTGTTCACCGCCACGAGTCGCCCCTAGGGCTGAGAGTGGCGGTCAATAAGTACAAGAAATAATAATAATAATAATAATAGAGTGACTCTGCTAAGGTGATTCAGATTCCTGACATAGATTATTTTGCATATTCTGATACCTACAAGTATTCTGGGATAGTGTATAGTGAACCAGAATCAAATAGAACCAAAACATGCCTGATAGATGTGCTTAATCATCATCATCATCATCTTCATTTATACTCTGCTACCATCTTGCCAAAGGGGACTTGGGGCGGCTAACATGAGGCCAACCCCCCAAAAATACAGCAAAGTTAGACACAAAACAACAGAAAAAATACATCACAACAAAATACATAAAGTAACAAAATAAAATAAACAGTGCAAAATAATATAATAAAAATCAAAAACAAAGGGCAGGCCAAATGTGCAAGATAAAATATTAAAACGTTAAAACCCTGGGTGAGATAGGAATAGAAAAAGTGTATTTCTGAGGAAGGAGCCCAAGTAGGAGGAGCAGTGGGGTTTGGCCTTCATTAAGGACAGGGGAAAGTGCATCATGAGGACAACTGTAGATGGAAACAAACAAAATGGTTGAATGGTCACTTTCAGAAGGCACATCGGAAGAGCCAAGTATTTAGATCTTTCTTAAGAACCAGGCTCTGCTTAAAAACCTTCTGAGAAGACTCCTTTACACTCTGAGGTAGGATATCCCTCTGTTAAATAGCTCTTTCTGTCTAGGCATTTGGCAGCTTAACATTTCAAACATTTCAAATGTCAACGGCACAGAAAAAAGGGCCAATATACCCCATTTGCGTCGAGCTCTCTCTACCAATAACGGTCTCATCTGAATGAGGCGCGTAGCATAAATGTGGGCATACTGCCTGTTGAAAGTCCGTTCCCCAAGCCTGAAGTTCTGGGAGCAGTTGGTATAAGAGGAGGCAGGCGCTCGGGCAAATGTAGACGCCGCTGCTTCAGATGGGGAGGCCAGGAGGCTTTGAGCAGAAGGGACAGTCTGCTCCGAGAACATGGCCTCCCTCCCCTGGATGCAGGTCTAAGCAGAGGGTTCCTACAGGATGATAGGGAAACAATGCCACTTAGAAGTTAGAAAATTAATTTATTATTTATTTACAGTATTTGTATACCGCCCCTCTCAGCCTTCTGGTAACTCGAGGTGATTTACAAGGCAAAATTCAATACCACCAAAAACACAGTTACAATATAAAAGCTTTAACATCAATAAAATCATAACAGCTGTAATAAAACATAATTCAATAAATACTCATTAAAACACTGTCCAATCCATCTTGCAGTTTATTCCGTTCTTATGTCCGTTACTAAGTATTCACAAATGCCTGCTCGAATAGCCATGTCTTGAGTTTTTTTTTAAATGCTAAAAGCAAAGAAGCCGATCTAATCTCCATAGGAAGGGCGTTCCATAGCCGAGGGGGCACCACTGAGAAGGCCCTATCTCTCGTCCCCGCCAGACGTGCTTGTGATGATAGCGGGACCGAGAGCAGGGTCTTAAGGCCTTCGAAGGTTCATAAGGGGAGATGCGTTTGACGACCCTTGTTAAGCTCACAATATGAGTGCGTATCCCAAAAATTCCCTCTTTCACAAAGAGCACACACAGTTCACTTTAAAATGTTGAATTCGCTATCACATAAAAACATGGTGATAGTCACCAGCTTAGCTTTAAAGGGGGGGGGGGTCAAATAAATTTTCAGATGATATGACTGAGGCTACTAGCTCCATTGGTATATAGAATTCATATTTATATAGACTGAAACTAACCTTACAGTTACAGATTCAAGTATCTAATTTGTGCACAAGCAAATACACCACTTGATCATACACTACTATACCAAACCATACCACACATTGCTTACTCTGTCCCATGAAGCAGCTGTGCACCATTTCTTGAAATGTTAGCAAAGAATACTGAGAATGTACTGGGCATCTTGAATAAGTACACCCCTAATCGCATAATGAGCTTAATAGCCAATATCATCCCATGCCTGTATTAGAAAAGGCTTTACCTCCAAGGCCTCTGTCTTTTCTGCAGAGTTCCTGCAATAAGGCAGCACGGCAACGGAGAAAAAATTCACAGTTTTCTTCATCAATTCTCGCCTGCAACAGCTCAAAGGGGCCTTTAATCTGCAAGATTCCAGCCTATCGCGTAAATTGCATATAAAAGAGACATCAGGCATGTAAATGTTTACTCCGCTTTTCATTTCTGCACTGCAAAATGTTTTAATGATCTGCGAGGTTTCTATCTTGTCATTTATATTATTGTGTGCCTTCAAGTCATTTCTAACTTTTTTTATTATTATTTTTTATTTACAGCATTTATATGCCATCCTTCTCACCCCGAAGGGGACTCAAAGCTGCTCACAAGATATATATGCATACAATATATTATATTATTAGCATAGTACAATATCAGTATTAATTATTACTATATTGTACTATACCTGCCATGTGTTGCTGTGGCCCAGTCTGGTGATCTGGAAAATAAAGTAATGGTTTCTAATATATGTAATTCCTTTATACTTGGGGGTAAACAGTATTCCTTGTTGTTTCTTTGTCAGTGTTGATGTGGAAATTGTCTGGTTTGCCTACTCTGGAACATGCGACATATAATTGTCCTTCTTTAGGGATCCCTTTCAAATCTATGATACTGTATATCTCTCTCTGTGTGAATCTTATATATCTATCTATATCTATGGCTAGATGGCTCTTTGTCTGGAGGACATTGATTACATTTTCTTGCCCTGGTGTAGGGACTTGGACTGGATGGCAAGTATGGGGGTTTTGTGTGGGAAGTTTGCCCCAATTCTGTCATTGGTGGGGTTCATCATGCTCTTTGATTGTAGGTGAACTATAAATCCCAGTAACTACAACTCCCAAATGTCAGGGTCTATTTCCCCCAAACTCCATCTGTGTTCATTTTTGGTCATATGGAATATTTGTGCCAAGTATGGTCCAGATTCATCATTGTTTGAGTCCACAGTGCTCTCTGTAATACAACTCCCAAACTCAACGTCAATGCCCACCAAAACCTTTCCAGTATTTTCTGTTGGTCATGGGAGTTCTGTGTGCCATGTTTGTTTCAATTCCATCATTGGTGGAGTTCAGAATGCTCTTTGATTGTAAGTGTACTATAAATCCCAGCAACTATAACTCCCAAATGACAAAATCCTTTTTTTTAAGTGATGGTCACTCCTAGTAGGTGTGTAGGTGTCTTGTGGCCAAATTTGGCGGCAATTCGTCTAGTGGTTTTTGAGTTATGTTAATCCCACAAACGAACATTACATTTTTATTTATATAAGATTTGTAATATTACATGTAGTATAAATATATAATTAGAGTATCACATTATTAGTAGTATATTGCATTGCATTATAATATTAGAAATATTTTTAATATTCTTTATTAGATATTTCTTAACATACACTTTACTTTGACAATATACATATAACACAGACATTATGAACAGTGGGGGGGGGGGGAAGAAGGCATGTGAAGGGGGAGGTAGTGGGGTCTAGGGAGATAGGGAAGGGGAAGACATCGGGTTACAATGAGGGGAAACAGTGAAATACATCTATCTATTGGACTTCCACAATATTCAACAGGGTCAAAAGCACTATAAAACTTGCAATTTATTGTCCTTCATTAAGTTTCATTTGCCTCCTTCCCTACGATCCATTCATAATATTTTTACTCTCTTTTAAGTATAACCTTAGTGGGTGCCAGTCTATCCTTCTTCTCTTGCTCGTGTCATATATCATATTCGTGAGTGAATCCATTTCCATAAAATCCCTAATTTTTAGAAGCCAGGCATCGATTGTGGGGAGTTCGCTTATGTTCCGTCTCCCAGGAGACTGGGTTTATTGCCTTTTTTGGTTGTTTGATTCGGCTGCCTTTGCCCTTTCTTTTAGAAGCTTCTGCAGCTTTGCAAGTCCTGGAGTTGCAGCCAAAGACGGGAAAAGGGGGAACCAGCCTGCAAAGTCTGTGCAGTGATTGGCTTAGGGGGCAGCTCTTAGGGCCCGCCCTTTTTCCTGGGGAGAGTTTTCCTTCTTGGAGTCTCCCTGCCCTGTTCAGTTCCACAGAAGCCTTTTGGATGTGCTGAGGGTCAAATAGGGCAGCCCAGAAAAAACCACCGCAAAAACTACTGAGTACTGGCTATTGAGATCAGCTATTGCGAATTAAGATAAGTAGTACTATTGAGATAAGAGTAATTGAGATAGCATAGTTAGGTAAGCTAAATTAAGATAAGTACAATTGAGAACTATTGAATGGAGGAGTATTTAGTTAAGTATAGTGAGATAAGTTTAATTGACTATTGAGAGAACAATTGTATTGAGTATTGAGAACAACTGTTGAAATAAACACCCCCCTTTTTGATGTTTAGACCTCGCAGTGGACTCCATTTTTTATTATCTCAATTTTCTCCAGAAAGCCCCAGCGGTTCGCCCAGACATAGGAACAGCACATCTTAGTTTGTTTTATAAAGCGTCTGCCAGAACTGTTGTGGCAGCTGCAGACATGTGATATAATAACATTTCTTTGTTCTGATCTAACTTGAAGTTTAGAAGGTGTAATAAATAATATTCAGCTTTACATTCAAACTTGATTTTGAGAATTTTCTGCACTTGTGTGTGTACCTCCCACCAAAAACGGGAGGTACACACACTTTTTTGCATTGCCACTAGGCAATATATTACATTACATTATATTATTAGCATAGCAAAGGAGACAAGATGGGACCCCTTTCTCTTCACTCTGGCCCAGAGCAGCAATTGGTGCTGAAGGGTGGGGTCCCTAGCTGCTGACATATGCAGGAGACAAGATGGAACTCTCCCCTGGCCCTTCCTCCCTTCACTCTGGCCCATTTCACTTTTGGCAAAATTAGAAATGTTTTGGGGTTGTCTTGGCAAGATTTGTTCATGGAGGATTTACTAGAGCAGTGGTTCTCAACCTTCCGAATGCCGTGACCCCTTCATACAGTCCCTCATGTGGTGGTGACCCCCAACCATAACCTTGTTTTCGTTGCTACTTCATAACAGTCATTTTACTACTGTTATAAATCATAATGTAAATATCAGATATGCAAGATGTATTTTCATTCACTGGACCAAACTGGGCACAAATACCCAATGCACCCACATGTAAATGCTAGTGGGGTTGGAGGAGGATTGATTTTGTAACTTGGGAGTTGTAGTTGCTGGGATTTATAGTTCACCTATAATCAAAGAGCATTCTGAACTCCACCAGCGATGGATTTGAACCTAATTTGCCACACAGAACTCCCATGACCAACGGAAAACACTGGAAGGGTTTGGTGGGTATTGACCTTGAGTTTGGGAGTTGTAGTTCACCTATATCCAGAGAGCACTGTGGACTCACGCAATGGTGAATCTGGACCAAACTTGGCACAAATACTCAATATGCGCAAATGTGAACACTGGTGGAGCCTGGGGAAAATAGACCTTGACTTTTGGGAGTTGTAGTTGCTGGGATTTATAGTTCATTACAATCAAAGAACATTCTGAACTCCACCAACGATAGAATTGGCTCAAACTTCCCATATGGAATCCCCATGACCATCAGAAAATACTGTGTTTTCTGATGGTCTTTGGCGACCCCTCTGACACCCCTTCGCGACCCCCTCAGGGGTCCCGACCCCCAGGTTGAGAAACACCGTACTAGAGTATTCAAGGGCCAAGGCTTCCCAATTCTCTGTGTCTATGCCACAGTTTTTAAGGTTGGCTTTGGGCCCATCTTTAAATCTGTGTGTGGGTGTGTGTGTGTGTATGAACACTCATTCCAAACACAGCTACACAACTGACATACAGTGGTAACAGAATACAAATCAAAATTCATGATTTTAACCCGCCTCCCCGAAGAGGCATGGATTGTGCAGGAGGAGAAGGGGCTCCAGTGGGGTTGGACTAGATGCCCTTGCAGGCATGGGCAAGCTTGGGCCCTCCAGGTGTTTTGGACTTCAACTCCCACAATTCCTAGCAGCCTCAGGCCCCTTCCTTTTCCCCTTCAGCCAGGGAGCAAGGGCTTAAGCGGCTGAGGGGGAAAAGGAAGGGGCCTGAGGCTGCTAGGAATTGTGGGAGTTGAAGTCCAAAACACCTGGAGGGCCCAAGCTTGCCCATGCCTGCTCTCTTCCAGTTCTAGGATTCTCTCACCCTCCCCTCCAGCCTCCTCCCGCTCACCTCTTCCGGCCAAAGCCACTCTCTCCTCTCCCGCCTCCGTGAGGATCAAATCCCAGCTTCACCGGAAGCGCCCGAACGCGCCAAGCAACTCCACAGACGCCGACAGGAAATGTCGCAAAGAGGACGGCCTTTTCCCCGCCCCCTTTGGACCATAGAAGTAGGCAAGGGTTAGAGCACCCCTGCACGGGTTGGATCATGTGAAGGACTAGGATTTCCCAGGAAGCCGAAGAACAACACAATTAAACACTGAGCTTAAAAGGAGAAATGAGACGAGTCCGTGTCAATAGGTTATTTTTGGAGGCTCTGTCCTATCGTGGACTGTCCAGAGGAGGGTGACTCAAATGATCAGGGGTCTGGAGAACAAGCCCTATGAGGAGCGGCTTAAAGAGCTGGGCATGCTTAGCCTGAAGAAGAGAAGGCTGAGAGCAGACATGATAGCCATGTATAAATACGTGAGAGGAAGTCACAGGGAGGAGGGAGCAAGCTTGTTTACTGCTGCCCTGGAGACTAGGATATGGAACAATGACTTCATAGAATCATAGAATCAAATAGTTGGAAGAGACCTCATGGGCCATCCAGTCCAACCCCCTTCTGCCAAGAAGCAGGAATATTGCATTCAAATCACCCCTGACAGATGGTCATCCAGCCTCTGTTTAAAAGCTTGCAAAGAAGGAGCCTCCAGCACACTCCGGGGCAGAGAGTTCCTCTGCTGAACGGCTCTCACAGTCAGGAAGTTCTTCCTCGTGTTCAGATGGAATCTCCTCTCTTGTAGTTTGAAGCCATTGTTCCGCGTCCTAGTCTCCAAGGAAGAAGAAAACAAGCTTGCTCCCTCCTCCCTGTCGCTTCCTCTCACATATTTATACATGGCTATCATATCTCCTCTCATCCTTCTCTTCTTCAGGTTGAACATGCACAGCTCCTTAAGCCGCTCCTCATAGGGCTTGTTCTCCAGACCCTTGATCATTTTAGTCACCCTCCTCTGGACACATTCCAGCTTGTCAATATCTCTCTTGAATTGTGGTGCACAGAATTGGACACAATATTCCAGGTGTGGTCTAAGAGTAGAGGGGTAGCATTGGAATCATAGAATCAAAGAGTTGGAAAAGACCTCATGGGCCATCCAGTCCAACCCCCTGCCAAGAAGCAGGAATGTTGCATTCAAATCACCCCTGACAGATGGCCATCCAGCCTCTGTTTAAAAGCTTCCAAAGAAGGAGCCTCCATACTTCCCTAGATCCAATCCTATGTCATCAGTCAAAAGCAGGCCCACACTTCCCATTGAAATAATTTTATATTTGTTGAAATTATTCTTCATTTTAATTATTGTATTATTTTAAAGTGTTTTTTTTTGCACTACAAATAAGATATGTGCAGTGTGCATAGGAATTCATTCATGTTTTTTTCAAATTATAATCTGGCCCTCCCAACAGTTTGAGGGACTGTGACCTGGCCCTCTGTTTACAAAGTTTGAGGACTTTTAGATGATTGTGTGTCTTTAGCTATGTTTTAACCCGTTTCGAGCCATGAAGAGAGGTGGGTAAGAATATAAATTATTACTATTATCACGATCATCCATGAAAATGACAGTGTTCCCTCGCTACTTTGCGGTTCGCTTTTTGCAGATTGGAGTTTTGCGGTTTTTCAAAAAATATGAATTTAAAATATACAAGTAGCGAAAGAACACTGTATACCTGTTACCTGTGAGGACCCCCATGCAGATTTGGTGGTCATGGGTAAAATCTCCCCTCCGACGCTATGTTTCCCAGTTCAGCCACTGGAAGGTGAAGATGGCGCTTGCGAGCAGGGAAGGAGGGGAGGGGTAGCCAGGTACACAAGGAAGTGTGGTGTGCAAGGGGAGGGGGGAGGGAGGAGGAAAGAGAGGAAAGAGAAGGTGAAGGGATTGAGCGAGGGGGAGGGGGCGGAGCCACTCCTAGGAAGCACACACACTGAGGCAGTACATATATAGCGTCCCTACTTTGCGGATTTTCACTTATCGCAGGTGGTGCTGGAATGTAAGTGAGGGAACACTGTACACCTGTAAATATAGAGGGACAGTTGAATTGAAATGTCGGATTCAGATGTGTGGCAATGAAAACCAAAGTCATACCCGAAAAAGCAATAGATTATGATCAAAACTCAGTATATATCTAATGACTGAAGCAAAATGTCACACACAGAGCCATGCAATTGATATATAGGTGGAAAACAATATCCAAAAGGAATTTAAAGGAAGTATTGAGTCACCTTCGCGTTCAAGAAAGGAGGGGTAGAAATATCATAAATAAAATATTAAACCTCAGCTCTGCCTTTCAGATCTCTGACATTTTGACCCTTGAAATCTCCTTTTTGCAAAAATGTGTTTTTATTCAGAAAAAGAGAAACAAAGTAATTTTATAATGTAGAATGCTAAAACTGTATGGCTCACTGAGAGGCTACTATAAAAGTAAATCAGAAAAAACACACACAAATAAAAGAATCCTATATAGATACCTTGGGAAGTCAGATCTGGCCACGGTGGTCCACGTTCTTGTTACATCCCGGATAGATTACTGCAACGCACTCTACGTGGGGTTGCTTTTGAAGATTGTTCGGAAACTTCAATTAGTCCAGCGGGAGGCAGCCAGATTGCTCACTAGAGCATCATACAGGGAGCATACCACCCCCCCTGTTGTGTCAGCTCCACTGGCTGCCGATCCAGTTCCAAGCACAATTCAAAGTGCTGGTTTTGACCTACAAAACCCTATACAGTTCTGGCCCAGCGTATCTGTCCGAACGCATCTCCCTCTACGTCCCACCTCGGAGTTTAAGATCCTCCGGGGAGGCCCTGCTCTCGGCCCTGCCTCTATCACAAGTGAGACTGGTAGGGACGAGGAGCAGGGCCTTCTTGGTGGTGGCCCCTCACCTATGGAATTCACTCCCCGGGGAAATTAGATCATCGCCATCCCTCCTTTCCTTTAGAAGGAAATTAAAAACATGGATTTGGGACCAGGCGTTTGGGCAATCAGGCAGATAAATAAAGGACGACGACGACTAATAGGAATGGAAAATGTGGAATGAAGTATGGACTCTGAGTTGCGAACGTTGAACATAAGATTGGTTTTTTATTGACTGTGATATATTTTGATTGTTTTTAACTGTTAAAACTGTTTTAATTGCTGTCTATATTTTATCTGTATTACTGTGTAGGCATCGAATTGTGCCTTTTTGTAAGCCGCCCTGAGTCCCCCCTCGGGGGTTGAGAAGGGTGGGGTAGAAATACACGAAATAAATAAATAAACAAATAAATACACAAAGTAGAGCAACAAACAAACAATTCTAAGAACTTCACACTCAGTTGATTTTACTCCTTTATTATTCTACTCGGCTTACATAATCCTATATACAAGGGTTATCTGCAAAGTAAGCTTACAAGGCACGTAGCTCTCATGGGGAATTTTCGCAGGAAAAGTTAGTATCACTGCCGTGTAGCGGGAAGACAGCAGATTGGATTAAGTAGGTTACTAAGCAAACTTAACATTCATGCCCACAAAAACGATTGACAGTAAACAAAACTAAATACAAATAACAGTGTTTGGAAATCACCCATGAAGGCATAAATGATTCCTAAATGCGGAGGGTACAGAACAGGTGAGCTCATTTACATACTTTGGGTCAGTCTTTTCGGAGTCAGGTTCATGGCCTGCACATTTTCACTCATGCGCAATTAAAACGAGGGCATGCTCAAACACACTGACAAGCCTACTATCCCATAGATACCAAGAGTCTTTAATCCTGATAATAAAAGCTTACAGAACAAGATTGTCCCTATGATACTACACAGGGTCAAAATTTGGGGTCTAAACATATTATCGGTAATGGAATAAATCCAATCAAAATTCCTAAGACAGATGCTGAGGGTAGACATAAGTGCTACAGCTGCTTGTATCAGAGCAGAATTAGAAATATACTCAATTGAAGGACTCACCAAAATCAGGGTCTTCAATTATTAGTCAAAAATAAAAGAAACTGGAAAATGGTAGACTCCTAAAATTATGCTTGGCAGAACTAACTAATGACCAAATTCAAGCTTCCTGGTCTGACCAATTAATATGGTTCCAATTAATATGCACTTGTGAATTACAAATCTCTTCCTTAGGTCATATTAGGGATTTTGAGAAAAGGATAGTAACTCAAAGGACTTTAGATACTGAAGCGCAGAAAGATATAGCCACTTTGTCAAACACAGGCTGCTTGAAGTCATTAGGTCATTTTAAACAAAATTTTCAGTGGGCACTTAAAAGTTGATATGCCGAGACACTTAAGAATTGCTTTTATCCTATTGGATTACACCAAATCATGGTCTCCCCAAAAAAAAACAACAAAGTGGAACCTGGTTAAAGACTATTTTAACTCAATCAATATAGACTTGACAATATGAAATAAAAAAGTCACAAGAAGGTCAATTTAATACAGGGAAGGAGTAGACTTTCCAAATATGTAAAAACAATTTTGGCCTTTTCTTACAACCACCAAAGAATAGAAGGAAGTCCCAACTTTTTTTTCTCTTCCTCTATTTTTATTATTATTATTATTACCTATTTCAATGTTTTTCCATATACATATGGAAATAAGGTGTTTTTTTAAACTTTCCTTTCCTTTAACCTTACACTTTTTCCTGCCGACCCTTTTTCCTAACTTTCCTATTCGAAAATTGTTCTCACACTTTCTATGTACACTATCTTCTTGACTATAAAAAACTTCTTTAAAAAAAGAAAAAAAGAATTGCTTTTACAAGGGCCAGATTTGAATAAATGGAGTCTATGGGGAGACACAGCAGATTTAATCATATTCCACCTGAAGAAAGACTCATCACACCAGAGAATGAATCCACTTTAAATCCAGTTTCTGCCTCCTGCAGAATTCTGAGGTTTGTAGTTTAGGGAGGAGCGTTTAACAGACTCACTAAACTTCAAACCCCAGAATTCTGCAGGAGGCAGAAATCAGATTTAAAGTGGATTCATTCTCTAATGTGATGAAGTAGCCTGTATCTGTGGCACCCCTGAATATGAACCACGTATCACAAAGCTGCTGTTTGTACAAAAAAGTAAAGAAACAACCTTTATGGCCTTTTATTTGTAATAAAATAAGCTGGAATACAGCAGCCAAAACTACATTTTTATCTGTAAAAAGCATCTAAAAGGAGATTAGACTATATTGATCAGATTGGTATACAGTGTAAGGGGGATTAAGACATTTGATGTATATACTTAAGATTAAGGTATATTTTGTTACAAGTAGGCCAAACCCATTTTTTCTCTATGTATCAATATATTTCTGTTTTTACTCGGACTAGATATATACTGTATGTTGTGTTTATATTTTGTGTTTTGGTAAGGCCAAGTGAAAATTGTTTCATTTCGTTATGGATGGATAATATTAAATCTAGGGTAAAAACAGAGTATGCATAAGTAAGCTGAGAAAAACTATAGAAAAAAATACTTATTATACAGGCTTAGAGGAGAAGATAACGGTGGGACAATATAAGAAAACAAAGATCAATGTGAATGCCAGATGACAAGAATTCATTTGCTTTCGGAACCAAAGATATTGTAGTTGGAACACCTTTATATGTTAAAGAATATCTACAATAATACCCTTCCTCTTCACACCTCTGGTGATACAACAGACTCATGTATCAAATTAATATACTAACAAAACTTGATGGTCAACACATATTTTTTACTAACTCACATCTTTTTTTCCTTTTCTTTGTTCCCCATTCCTTTAAGTCACAAAACTGCAAAAATGAAATAAAGTATCATTAAAATAAGAAAAGTTTGAAAACTCTTGTCTTGGAGAGTCTCTCTCTGGGGTCAAATACCGCTGTCCTCTCCAATGTGAATTCTATCTCTACGTAGATTTGAACTCTCAGAGAAGCTCTGTCCACACTCCAGGCACTGATAGGGCTTCTCCCCAATGCGAGTCGTTTGATGTGAACGTAGACCTGAACTATGAGCGAAGCTCTGTCCACACTCCAGGCGATTATAGGGTTTCCCCTCCGTGAGTCATTTGATGTGAACTTAGACTACCACGCTTAGTGAAACTCTGTCCACACTCCAGGCACTGATAGGGCTTCTCCCCAGTGTGAGTTCTTTCATGTGTACGAAGACTTGAACTATAAGTGAATTTCTTTCCACACTCCAGGCATGTATAGGGCTTCTCTCGAGTGTGAGTCTTTTGATGTGAATGTAGATTTGAACTATGAGAGAAGGTCTTTCCACACTCCAGGCACGTATAGGGTTTCTCCCCAGTGTGAGTCCTTTCATGCGCATGTAGATTTGAAGTATGAGTGAAGGTCTTTCCACACTCCAGGCATGTATAGGGTTTCTCCCCAGTGTGAGTCCTTTGATGGGAACGTAGGCCTGAACTTTGAGCAAAGCTCTGTCCACACTCCAAGCAATGATAGGGTTTCTCCCCAGTGTGAGTCCTTTGATGTAAACTTAGATTACCATGCTTAGTGAAGCTCTGTCCACACTCCAGGCAAGTATAGGGCTTCTCCCCAGTGTGAGTCCTTTGATGCGAAAGTAAGCTTGAACTATAAGCGAAGCTCTTTCCACAGTCCAGGCATGCATAGGGTTTCTCCCCAGTGTGAGTCCTTTCATGTGAACGTAAATTTGAACTATGAGTGAAGCTCTGTCCACACTTCAGGCATGTATACGGTTTCTCCCCAGTGTGAGTCCTTTGATGTGAACTTAGACTGTCACGCTTAGTGAAGCTCTGTCCACACTCCAGGCACTGATAGGGCTTCACCCCAGTGTGAGTCCTTTGATGTGAACGTAGAGTAGAATTATGAGCGAAGCTCTTTCCACACTGCAGACATGCATAGGGTTTCTCCCCAGTGTGAGTTCTTTGATGTGAAAGTAGATCTGAAGTAGAAGTGAAGCTCTGTCCACACTCCAGGCATGCATAGGGCTTCTCCCCAGTGTGAGTCATATGATGTAAATGTAAACCTCCACTGTTAGTGAAGCTCTTTCCACATTCTTGGCATTCATAGGGCTTCTCCCCAGTGTGAGTCCTTTCATGTTGCTGCAGAGAATCCTTCCGAGTGAAACTCTTTCCACACTCCAGGCATTTAAATGCTTTCTCTTTCATGTCAACAGTGATATGGGTGTCTAATTGCTATACAGATACTTGATTTCTGTTTTTTTTCTCTTCTTAACGGTAAATGAGGTCAGGAGTTCAGCAAGATCATCACCCTGAGAGGATTTATTCTTCCTCTCTGCACCTGGTCAAGAAACAAAACATCAACCATCAAAGCCAGAAACCTTCTTTACCTCCCAGATTTCCCCCCTTTTCCTTCATTTATTTTATTTATTTATTTACAGTATTTGTATACCACTTTTCTCACCCCTAGGGGAACGCAAAGCAATTCATGGGCCATGTTGAAAATGGAAATAATAATAATAATAATAATCATCATCATCATCATCATCTTTATTTATAACCCGCCACCATCTCCCCAAACGGGACTCGGTTAACATGAGGCCAAGCCCAAAAATAATACAACATAATTAGACACAGAAACAACAAAAATACATCATAACAAAACATATAAAATAACAAATTAAATAAACAGAATAAAATAGCATAGTAAAATCAAACACAAAGGGCGGACCAGATGTATGAGATAAAATGTTTAAAAGTTAGAAACCTGGATGAGAGAGAGATAGAGACAGATAGACAGAAAGACAGATATATATATATATATATATATATATATATATATATATATATATATATATATATATATTTTGAATGAGAGAGAGAGAGAGAGAGGAGCCCAAAAAGGAGGAGCAATGGGGTTTGCTCCCCTACCAGGAAACTGAGACATCGGGGTCTCAAGCGCATACACAGATATCAGCAAAGCCAAACACTGATTCTTAAAAAAGAAGAACACAGGCTTTCCATACAGGATCATAGAAATGTCTTTGCCATGAGCAACACAATAAATCCTGACCTGGAGAGGAGATCTGCTCTGAGCAGTTTTCCCATACAAGCCGCCTCACAAATGGGCGAAACAGCCTGAAAAGGGGGAAGATGATAAGCCATTCTTTCCCCATGCATTAAATAAAAACATGTGCCTATAATTATGGCCTCCCAAAAGGAAATCCTAAGAAAACTGAAGACTTTGTGTGTATGTTGGGGAGGGGGGGGTGTCCCCTGGATGCTTTTTGGAAGGTGCCTTCAAGTAATAATAATAATAAAAAAACTTTATTTATACCCCGCTACCATCTCCACAAGGGACTCGGTGAGGCTTACATGAGGCCGAGCATACAATACATCAATAATAAAAGCAATAACAAACAACAATACAAAACAGTTAAAATAAATCTCATAAACAAAAAATAAGCAATAAACATTGACAGTAGCACAACAAATGTTTAAAAACCTATGGCTGGGCCAAATGTAATAATTAACAATTTCTTAAAAGTGGTCTCTAAAAGGTCCTAAATGTTATGTGATTCTGAAAGGCTTCCCTGTGGAATGAATGCAAACTGACTCCACCTCAACTATCATGCCTGAGTGCTGTGGAATGTCTAAGGCAGGGGTCCTCAAACTAAGGCCTGGGGGGCAGATATGGCCCTCCAAAGTCATTTACCCGGCCCTCACTTAAGTGTCAGCCTAAGTCTGAAATGACTTGAAAGCATACAACCCTATCCCATCTCATCAGCCAAAAACAGGCCCACACTTCCCACTGAAATACTAATAAGTTTATATTTGTTAAAATTGTTCTTCATTTTAATTATTGTATTGAGCCTTCTAATCAAGGCGAAAGAAGAAAGCGCAAAAGCCGGGTTGCAGCTAAACGTCAAAAAAACCAAGATTATGGCAACAAGAATGATTGACAACTGGAAAATAGAGGGAGAAACCATGGAGGCCGTGACAGACTTTGTATTTCTAGGTGCAAAGATTACTGCAGATGCAGACTGTAGCCAGGAAATCAGAAGACGCTTCCTTCTTGGGAGGAGAGCAATGTCCAGTCTCGATAAAATAGTAAAGAGTAGAGACATCAGACTGGCAACAAAGATCCGCATAGTCAAAGCCATGGTATTCCCTGTAGTAACCTACGGATGTGAGCGCTGGACCTTAGGGAAGGCTGAGCGAAGGAAGATTGATGCTTTTGAGCTGTGGTGTTGGAGGAAAGTTCTGAGAGTGCCTTGGACTGCGAGAAGATCCAACCAGTCCATCCTCCAGGAAATAAAGCCCGGCTGCTCATTGGAGGGAAGGAGACTAGAGACAAAGTTGAAGTACTTTGGCCACATCATGAGGAGACAGCAAAGCCTAGAGAAGACAATGATGCTGGGGAAAGTGGAAGGAAAAAGGAAGAGGGGCCGACCAAGGGCAACATGGATGGATGGCATCCTTGAAGTGACTGGACTGACCTTGAAGGAGCTGGGGGTGGTGACGGCCGACAGGGAGCTCTGGCGTGGGCTGGTCCATGAGGTCACGAAGAGTCGGAGATGACTGAACGAATGAACAACAACATTGTTTATCAGTGGGGATTTTTGCACTACAAATAAGATATGTGCAGTGTGCATAAGAATTCATTCATTATTTTTTTTTCAAATTATAATCCGGCCCTCCAACAGTTTGAGGGACTGTGACCTGGCTCTCTGTTTAAAAAGTTTGAGGGCCCCTGGTCTAAGGGTTGTGCTTTAGAGAAGGTTAAAGGGAGGAAGGAGCAAGCTTGTTTTCTGCAGCACTGGAGACTAGGACTCAGAGCAGTGGGTTCAAATTATAGGAAAGGAGATTCCACCTGAACATTAGGAACAACTTCCTAACAGTGAGATCTGTTCAGCAGTGGAACTCTCTGCCCAGAGTGTGGTGGAGACTCCTTCTATGGAGGCTTTTAAACAGAGGCTGGATGGCCATCTGTTGGGGGTGCTTTGAATGCGATTTTCTTGCTTCTTGGCAGGGGGGGTGTGGACTAGATGTCCCATGGGGTCTCTTCCAACTCTGTGATTCTGGGTCAAAGCCAGTGATGAAAAGCACAGTTTTTCATCACTTGTGCCTTTTCTCACTTCAGCACAAGATAGGAAATTATTCTACTTTGTTTTATACCCCGCCCTCCCTCTATTGGTGAGGGACTCTTGATTTCTTCTTCCTGTTTTGTGGTTTCCTGGAACCCGAAAACAAATAACATATAGAAATATAGAGTTGGAAGAAACCTCATGGGCCATCCAATCCAACCCCTTGCCAAGAACCAGGAAAATTACATTCAAAGCACCCTTGACAGATGGCCATCCAGCCTCAGTTTAAAAGCCTCCAAAGAAGGAGCCCCTCCACACTCCGAGCCAGAGAGTTCCACTGCTGAACAGCTTCACAGGAAATTCTTCCTAATGTTCAGGTGGAATCTCCTTTTCTATCACTTGAAGCCATTGTTCCCAGTCATAGTCTCCAGGGCAGTAGAAAACAAGCTTGCTCCCTCCTCCCTGTGGCTTCCTCTCATGTATTTATACATATACATAAACATAAACACACACACACACACTAACTTCCTTGTCACATTAGAGAATGAATCCACTTTAAATCAGGTTTCTGCCTCCTGCAGAATGCTGTGGTTTGTAATTTAGTGAGGTTTTTAAAAGCTCCTCCCTATACTACAAACCTCAGAATTCTGCAGAAGGCAGAAACCGGCTTTAAAGTGGATTCATTCTCATCACTGATGCTTGAAGTCCAGGCGTCGGCGGTGGCTGGGAGGGCCTTTGCACAATTAAAACTCATGCGCCAGCTGCAACCGTACCTCGTGAAGTTGGGTCTGGCCATGGTGGTCCACGCCTTAGTCACCTCCAGATTGGATTACTGTAATGCACTCTACGTGGGGCTGCCCTTGAAGACGGCTTGGGACATTTCAATTGGTACAAAGGGCGGCAGCCAGTTTACTAACTGGAACAACTTACAGGGAGCAGTCTATCCTGCTGTTTAAGGAGCTCCATTGGCTGCTGTTCATTTTCCAGTCCCAATTCAAGGTGCAGGTTCTTACCTACAAAGTCCTGAATGGTTTGGGACCCACCTACCTGCGTGACTGCATTTCTGTTTATGAACCCATGTGATCTCTTCGATCATCTCCTCTCGCTCCCGCCCCCTTTGCAGGCATGATTGGTGGGGACAAGGGAGAGGGCTTTCTCTATGGTGGGCCCCCTACTCTGGAACTCACTCCCCAAGGATATCAGACAAGCCCCCACACTGGCAGTCTTTAGGAGGAGCCTGCAAAATGTCCTCAGAAGCACTTTAACTACCCGTTAGGTTGGTCTCCCTACATTATTTTTAATACCCTCCTGCTTAGATACATCCTACTGTTCACACCCAGTGTTTATTTAAAAAAAATAATTTATTACATTTGGTCCGGCCATAAGTTTTTATAATTTGTGTGTCATTGCTTATATGTGAGTCATATTAATTGTACTGTTTTATTTGCTTGCTGCTTTGTTTTTACTGATGTGCTGTTGGGCTTGGCCTCATGTAAGCCACCTCGAGTCCTCTTGGGGAGATGGTGGCAGGGTATAAAGTTTTTATTATTATTATTATTATTATTATTATTATTATTATTATTAACTAGCTGTCCCCTGCCACGTGTTGCTGTGGCCCAGTGTGGCGATCTGGAAAATAAAGTAATGAGAAAGTGTTGGTTTCTAATATATGTAATTCCTTTATGCTTGTGAGTAAACAGTATTTCTTGTTGTTTCTTTGTCAGTGTTGATGTGGAGATTGTCTGGTTTGCCTACTCTGGAATATGCAACATATCATAGTCCTTCTTTAAGGGTCTCTTTCAAATCTATGATACTATATCTGTGGGTGTGTGTGAGAATCATATCTATCTATCTATATTTATGACTGGATGGCTCTTTGTCAGGAGGGCTCTGATTACATTTTCTTGCCCTGGTGAAGAGAGTTGGACTGGATGGCCTTAAGTATTTTCTGTTGGTCATGGGGGTTCTGGGTGGAAAGTTTGCCCCATTTCTGTCGTTTGTGGGTTTCAGAATACTCTTTGATTGTAGGTAAACTATAAATCCCAGCAACGACAATTCCCAAATGACAAAATCAATTTTTTTGAGTGGAGGACATAAATTGGACTGTTAGGTGTCTTGTGTCCAAATTTGGTGTCAATTCCCCCAGTGGTTTTTGAGTTCTGATGGTAGCACAGACGAACATTACATTTTTATTTATATAGATAATAATAATAATAATAATGTGATGGGGTCCTAAGTAACAACACACAATTCTAAGAAAACAGCAAGGGCAAACCTTGGAGGCTTTTAAATAGAGGCTAGATGGCCATCTGTCAGGGGTACTTTGATTGTGCTTTTCCTGTATGGCAGGGAGTTGGACTAGAGGCCCATGTGGCCTCTTCCAACTTGACGATTCTATGAAGCCACTTATCTAAACTGATGCCAGTGCTACTCCCGCAGCAGTACTTTTGCATTCAACTACTTTTCCCTACTTGTATTTCCTCCGTGAGATTCTGCCATGTCTCCCCCTCCTTTACCTCTTTCCTTCCTCTTCGCCCTTGGCTCCAATGGACTCCTCGCCTCCGTCTCTTCTGCTCAGAAATGGCGCCGGCGGAAGGGGCAGGGCCTGAAGTGACGTCACCTCCCCTTCCTTCCCTTCGGAGAATTAGTAGAGAGAGACCTCTAGGAATCAAAAGGGGTGGGACCTCTGCGGAGCCGCCACACTCCTGATTGGCCACGCCCCACCCTCCCTCGCGATTCATTTGCATATTTAAAGGAAAAGCAATCCTTTCCCTCCCTTCCCATTGACTCACGTTTCTGCGCAGGCGCAGGCAGGCCTTTCATTTTGTCCCGACAGAGGGCGCCTGTTACAGCAACTCTGAGAAAAAGCTTTAAGAGCATCTCTATGAATGTATATGAAACTAGCTGTCCCCTGCCACGCGTTGCTGTGGCCCAGTCTGTTGATCTGGAAAATAAAATAATGAGAAAGTGTTGGTTTCTAATATATGTAATTTCTTTGTGCTTGTGAGTAAACAGTATTTCTTGCTGTTTCTTTGTCAGTGTTGATGTGGAGATTGTCTGGTTTGCCTACTCTGGAACATCCAACATATCATTATCCTTCTTTAGGAGTCCCTTTCAAATCTATGATACTATATCTGTGTCTGTGTGAATCATACCTATCTATATCTATGTCTGGATGGCTCTTTGTCAGGAGGGCTTTAAGTTTTCTTGCCCCAGTGAAGGGAGTTGGACTGGATGGCCTTAAGTATTTTCTGTTGGTCATGGGATAACTGTGTGCCAAGTTTGGTTCAATTCCATTGTTGGTGGTGTTCAGAATGCTCTTTGATTGTAGGTGAACTGTGAATCCCAGTGACTACAACTCCCAAATGTCAAAATCTATTTCCCCCAAACGCCATCTGTGTTCATATTTGGGCGTATTGAGTGCTTGTGCCAAGTTTGGTCCAGATCCATCATTGTTTGAGTCCACAGTGCTCTCTGGATGTAGGTGAACTACAACTCCAAAACTCAAGGTCAGTGCCCACCAAACCCTTCCAGTATATTCTGTTGGTCATGGGAGTTCTGAGTGCCAAGTTTGGTTCAATTCCATTGTTGATGGAGTTCAGAATGCTTTTTGATTGTAGGTGAACTATACATCCCAGCAACTACAACTCCCAAATAGCAAAATTATAAATTTTTTTGAGTAATGGTCACTCCTTGTGTTATGAGACATTTTGTTGCCAAATTTGGTGTGATTTCGTTTATTAGTTCTTTTGTTTTTAAGATACTCATTATGACCAGAGCATTTATATATATATATAGATTGTATATACATGTAAGGTAAAGGTAAAGGTTGTCCCCTAACATTAAGTCCAGTTATGTCTGACTCTGGTGCTCATCTCCATTTCTAAGCCGAAGAGCCGGCGTTGTCCATAGACACCTCCAAGGCCATGTGGCCGGCATGACTGCATGGAGCACCCTTACCTTCCCGCCGGAGCGGCACCTTTTGATCTACTCACATTTGCATGTTTCCGAACTGCTAGGTTGGCAGAAGCTAGGGTTGACAGCGGAAACTCACGCCGCTCCCCGGAATCGAACCTGCGACCTTTCGGTCAACAAGCTCAGCAGCTCAGCGCTTTAACCCACTGTGCCCCTGGGGGCTCCATATACATGTATAGGCACCTATATAAATAAAAATGTAATGTTCGTTTGTGGGATTAACATAACTCAAAAACCACTGGATGAATTGCCGTCAAATTTGGCCACAAGATACCTACTAACACAAGAAGCGACCATCACTCAAAAAATTTGACTTTGATATTTAGGAGTTGTAGTCGCTGGGATTTATTGTTCACCTACAATCAAAGAGCATTCTGAACTCCACCAATGATTGAATTGAACCAATGTATTGCCGAAGGCTTTCATGGCTGGAATCACTAGGTTCTTGTAGGTTTTTTCGGGCTATAGGGCCATGTTCCAGAGGCATTTCTCCTGACATTTCGCCTGCATCTATGGCAAGCATCCTCAGAGGTAGTGAGGTCTGTTGGAAATAGGAAAATGGGTTAGATATATAAACCCATTTTCCTATTTCCAACAGACCTCACTACCTCTGAGGATGCTTGCCATAGATGCAGGCGAAACGTCAGGAGAAAAATTGCCTCCAGAACATGGCCATATGGCCCGAAAAAACCTACAAGAACCTAGAATTGAACCAAACTTGGCACACAGGACTCCCACAACTAAGAGAAAACACTAGTTTGGTGGACATTGACCTTGAGTTTGGGAGTTGTAGTTCACCTACATCCAGAGAGCACTGTGGACTCAAACAATGATGGATATGGACCAAACTTGGCATGGATATTCCAAATGCCCAAATATGAACACAGATGGAGTTTGCAGGGGAATAGGCCTTGACATTTGAGAGTTGGAGTTGCTGGAATTTTTAGTTCACCTACAATCAAAGAGCATTCTGAACCCCACCAATGACGGAATTGGAGCAAATTTCCCACACAGAACCTCCATGACCAACAGAAATTACCCACTCTCGACCCCCCCCCCCCAGGGGTCCCACCCCCACTGTTGGGAATACTGTCTTAAGGCCACCCAGTCGAACTCCCTTCACCAGGGCAAGAAAACGTAATCAAAGCCCTCCTGACAAAGAGCCATCCAGCCGTAGATATAGATAGAGAGATATGATTCACACACAGAGAGATATAGTATCATAGATTTGAAAGGAACCCCTAAAGAAGGACAATTATATGTTGCATGTTCCAGAGTAGGCAAACCAGACACTCATCAACACTGGCAAAGAAACAGCAAGAAATACTATTTGCCCACAAGCATAAAGAAATTACATATATTAGAAATCAACGCCTTCTCATTATTTTCCAGATCACCAGACTGGGCCACAGCAACACGTGGAAGGGGATGGCTAGGTGTATATATACATGTATAGGCATATATAATTCCTATATCTCAGTGAGTGCATGTATACATATCACACATGGGCAAACTTGAGTCCTCCGGGTGTTTTGGACTCCTTTCCTTTTTTCCCCTCAGCTGCTTACGGAAGGGGCCTGAGGCTGTTAGGAATTGTGGGAGTTGTAGTCCATAACACCTGGGGTGGGGGGCAAGTTTGTCCATGCCTGATTGAGAATAAAGGCAAGATTTGGCCCAAAAGGTCCTAAACACTAGCAATTTTTGCCTGCCCAGTGAGCTTTCCGCCACTGCCTTATTTTTGGCCTGTCTTATCAGTGTACCAGGACCATTGGAATCTTTTAGAAATTTCACCCACTTCCAAGCCATCCTCGCCAAGCCTATGACATATGGAGAGGTCCCGATGTGGGGGCAGATTGCTAAGGAGAAGGGGTCTGCGATGGTGGCCATGAGGTTGGCTCACAGCCTGTTGGCTATAGAGTGCATGATGATAGCCACCTGCCCTCTCCCATGTCAAAAACTGCCCCTGGCCACCTCTTTAAATTGTGCATCTGGCATGCATTGTCCTGCCAACCTGATAGTTTTTCATCTGTGGTCAGAAAGCTTATTCATACTTGCCAACCAATTCCATTTTTGGGAATGGTGCCTTGGGTAGGCTGTCACTCTTCCTGCTTTCTCAAAGTGACGTAGAACTGGCACGCTCTCCCATTGGGTGGCAAGAGAGACCTGAATTTTCAACACTGACTGTGACTCCAATGTGGCCCTGAAGAGTGACCTTCACTTTGTAGCAGCGGCTCAATTTACCTCTGGGTAGCAGCTGCCATGAATTACCAGGCAATCAAACATTTTGCCTGTACTCTAGTCAAAAACTTTAGACAAAAATGGAGTCCCCAGTAGTGCAGCAGGTTAAACTGCTGAGCTGTTGAACTTGTGACCAAAAGTTCAG